CCGGTCGCCGGACCGGCGACCGGCCAGAGTTTGAAGATGAAAAAGAAAAAAAAGAAAAGAAAAGAATAAAAAATAAATAAAAATTCGAAAAAAAATAAAAAATAATATTAAAATTTTAATTCAGGGTAAAATTGTCACATATGTACCAGTTTGGGGTTTTTTGTGGTAAGTTCAGGGTAAAATTGTCACAGGTGTACCAGTTTGGGGTTTTTGGTGGTCAAAAAAATAGTTCAGGGTAAAATTGTCACAGGTGTACCAGTTTGGGGTTTTTTATGGTCAAAAAAATAGTTTGGGGTAAATGTGTCACAAGTGTACCAGTTTAGGATTTTTCGTGGTATTAACCCTTATTTATTTTATGTCTTAGAAGGACAAGAACATTTTTGCGAGGAAATAGTTAATAAGCTTGCATTATAGTATCCTTCATTATGTTCAGCTTTGGGCGCGAATGATAATCATTCTGTTCCAGAAACAATTCCTGGAACAGATCCCAGAACGAGTTTCTGAGGAAAGAAACTCGTTTGATAACAACACAAATTCCTATTTCCCGGAACAGAAATCTATTTTTTTTAGAACCCCTTTTGGGGGTTAAACCCCTTTTACAGTTTTTTAGGGGTTAAAACCCCTTTTAAATCCCTAAACTAAGGAGTCTTCAAAAATACCATTTGGGCACTTCAAAAAATTAAAATTTCACTCAAAATGAGTGGCCACAGGTATTCTAAGCTATTCTGTGAAGTTTTGAAATTTTTGATTTTTTGATTTTTTTTTGAAAAAATTCATCAAATTTCCTATTTTCCCGAAATCTGAATTTTTTTTATTTTCTGGAAATTTTTATGAATTTTTCCGGAATTTTTCAATTTTTATGGATTTTCAGAAATTTTTTTTGAGATTTTTAGGAATTTTCAGGATTTTCTATTTTTTTAATTTTCTGAATTTTTTGATTTTTTTTTTCTGATTTTTTTGAATTTTCTAATTTTTTTTTTACAGTTTTTCTGATTTTTTTTAGAATTTTTTTTATTTTCCCCATCGGGAATAAACCGAACCAAATCGGTTCGGACCGGTCTAACCAGGTCAGACCGGGGCCAAATTTAGGAAAAGATGTGTTTTGAAGAGAGAAGACAGATTATTTTAAAAATGGTTTTCATTTCTCGTCCAGAAACAAAAAACCTACTTTTTTTTTATTTTGATTTTTGTTCCAGAAATAGAAAAATGGAATTGTGTTACCAAATGGATTTTTGTTCCAAACTTGTTTTCGGGAACAGAAAATTAATTATAGACAAAAACAGAATGGTTATCATGCGCGCCCTTTGTGTATTAGTGTTATGGCAACCCGGGCTCTGCAAGTTTTGCAAGGATCAAGGTTTTCCTCTGTCATTGATTTCCTTCATCTTTCATCTCCAGCTGAAAGCTCTATGTTGATATCATGAGTTTATTGATTTTTTTCTACACCTCTAATGATTAAATGCTTTTAATCGGCTAAATAATGCGTTTTTGAGGTATAACTCTATAATCACGAGGAACTGACTCAATCAAACAATCTTGTTTAGCTATCTGACTGGAAACCAATTGACTGGAGAAGTCCCTGATTGGATCCTGGAGGAAGTAAAATATGCGTAAGCTTTGCTGCCCATCTTGTTTAATCACGAATTTGCCTCTAGCTCTATCTCGCTAATCTTGCACTGTAGTAAGCAATTATGCATTCCCATCTTGCGTCTTTATGGTTTGTAGCTTACGGAGTTAAATGGAAACATCATAAGTACCTTTCTCCTTGTTGGCATCTGTTTTTTGGAAAGTTATATGTAAGACGAGGCTGAATTGGTATGCATGAAAGAATATACAGTGGATTTTCTTGGAAGTGCCAAGTTAGCCCCCACTTTCCTCTACACAGACAGCCCTCGCCAGCTCTAGATCTTTTTCAAACCTCTTGGAATGATAAAACAACATTAAGAAATTTTTTGCTTCCTATAAATCCTCTTTGAAAGTTTGTCTAACGCATCACCCGCACAATATGATTAGTTGCTTGGGCATGTTTATGGTTTTGTGTATTTGAGAAACTATACAACCAAAATGAGTGTACCTAGGAGAAAGTTGATATTATCTTATGGGCATAACAATGAAGCTTTTATGAGCTAGTGTTAACGATTAAATGGTGGTCTGGATATTTTCTAATAAGAATATCCGACTTAGGAGTCGTTGGAATCATAGTCATATTTTTTCCTCTTTGCCTTATACATCATGTTTGTTGTACTGTTACTAGGTAAAAATGTATTAATGTACTCCAACTAGTTCTAAAGTCTCCGTTCACTCCAATTTGTCTTTGTCCTTTTAATATTTTAAGATAAGATATCTTGAATAAAGATAACATATTACTTTCATCACCTTATGATGTTTTTGCCTTTCAACTTGCCTTACCTGTCCCTATTTTGCAACTGATCTCCCTTTTTGTACATAATAATCATTTGATGGAATGACTGTCAGTGTATTCTTCAAATTGATGAGATTTTGGAAATGGTTGACTATCTCTCTGTGTAGTGATCTATCATACAACAACTTCAATGATGGAGGGGGAGGATGTCAAGTACGAGATGTGTATGTACTACTTCCTTCATTCTAAGTCCAGGGCTCCCCTCAAATGTGCGGTTATGAGTAACTTATAATCCTGTATACAAGATTTCCATTTCTCTACTGAATGTTGATTTTGTATTTTCTCTACAGCAACTTGTTCGCAAGCTCGGCGGTTGACAATGTGTATGTTTGAGATTAAATTTTTCACCAAGAGACTTGGATTTCCAAGGACCTGCATTTTAAATTTTTATGTACGTAGCGTTGAACTTCATTCAGAATGATGATGATTGTAACATTAAAATCTTTATTGACTTGCTCAGAACCTCATATCATGCCACAAGTGGACTTGTCTCATGTTTGAAAAATCATCAACCTTGCACAAAAGGTAAGTTAATCTGCTGTATATCCTATCATTATCATCAGATCCTGATATTGTATCATACTCTCTGTGTATCTCCTTGTCAACTCTCCTCTTGGCTATTGTGTCAATCTTTGATGGTTAATGCTAATTAGTCTAGAAATTTTGAAAGCCACGTCCATGAAATAACATGTTGCTCATAAACTTGGGAGTTTCTATGTGATTTTCATATAAGTGAATGCCGGTTCATTTAGTGTGTTTGGAAAGTCCACTCCATATTAACAAAAAGAAGAAAACTCGATTTTTCTCTTTGTGGCTATTTCTTTACTCCATCCAGATCGGTATAATCTCTTCATAAATTGCGGTGGGAGCGAAGAAAGAATAGGGGACAACACATACAACGATGATACATGGCCGTTGCTTAGAGCTGCTTCAAGTTCCTTCTCGAGTGCAAATTACTGGGGCTACAGTAACACTGGTCACTTCCTTGATGACGGTGTCGATCCAGATAGATATGTAGCTGCCAATGTATCCGTACTGTCCATGGAAAATCCCCAGCTTTACATGACAGCACGGCGTTCTGCTATCTCTCTAACTTATTATGGTTTTTGTCTGATGAATGAGATCTACAATGTAAGCCTTCATTTTGCGGAGATAACGTTCACGGGCAACGAAAGTTACACAAGCCTTGGAAGGCGAGCTTTTAATGTTTATATACAGGTAAATTTTGGGCATCATGCAATGCTGGTTCTAATATGTAAAGCATATAAGCGCTCAATATGTGATGGTTGGGTTGTTTTATCTAAATATCTCGTATTTGCAAATCATGATCTGATCACAATTTCTACATTCTACTGAGACTGAAAGTTTCACCATGTTCAATGTGGAGACACTCAACTTGAATCAGATTAAACATTATTTCAGGGGAAATTAGTCTTGGAAGATTTCAACATTGAGAGTGAAGCAGGTGGAGTTGGAAAGGAGGTCGTAAAAAATTTTACTGCCAATGTGACCAATGGCACTCTGGAGATACGCTTCTATTGGGCTGGGAAAGGAACCAATATTATACCTACCAAAGGAGTCTATGGTCCTCTTATATCTGCTATCTCCGTCTATCCTGGTATGCAGACAGACGCTTCCACATTTCACTTGGTGCTTCTCCATTGAGAAAGTTACTCGTGTTCATATTGGAAAAAAATACCCATATTTTGTCTTGCCCCAGAAGTCATCAATAGGCTATTCAGTTACTTGGTTTGGTTGCAAATGTTCACTGTTGGATTCAGGCCATTGGCATACGTTACAGTTGATCGAATCAATTTTCATAGTAGCTGACATAGATCCATTATTCTTCTCTTAAGAGGGTGAAAATTGGTTATAGTTTTACTTTGTTTTCTTTCTAGCTGAGCATGTTTTCTCTGTATTAATCCTTCTATTTAGACTGTGAAATGATAGCCTCGTTCACTTTTCTGCTATGGATCAATGACCATTGCGCCTGTATTATACAGTACAGCCTGGAGAATGAAGAGCATATTTTGTTTCCTTTTCTTTTTCGCTTTGTATTTAGTATTACATATTCCAAAGATGATTTCTTCCTGTGCTCATTTATCTGATAGTTTCTGTAGAGTACTCTGAGCGGTTTTCATGTTTTTTTATTCTCAGTTAGTGTGCTGTCCCATCTATTGCTTTCTGTGTTCAACAAGAAGCTACAGATATTTTTCCGCATTTATGTCTACCCCATTTATCCGAAATATTTGTGTTCTTTCTTCATCAGACTTTGAACCCCCAGCAGAGTCGACCAGCATATCTGCTGGCACAATGGTCGGGATTGTGGCTGCTGTAGTTTTTGTAGTTTTCCTTATCCTGGTTATCCTTTGGTGGAGAGGATGTCTTGGACGTGAAGATGAATTGGCACAAGGTAGTTGCTTACCTGGAATTATCTCTGTTATTTTGTTCACATATATCTGTCAAGAAATAGAACGTTATGCATTCTGAATACATTCCCCCTTTCATCATTTATATTTCACACAGTTGTCCTGTCAAACTGTTGGTGCGTGACTCTTCTTCTTCTCCTTCTTCTTACCTTTTCTGGTGGGGGATGGGGTAATCACAATGCATCATCAATACTGCAACTAGATTACACAGTTCTCCTGACTGTTGATGCACAGCATTTGTGCATTACATTGGAAATTCGATTTGACACAAAAAGAAAAGAAATTATTGGTAAGCCATAATACAGCTAAAGTTTCATCGATCCATTTGTTACACTCAATGAACTAAGTTTTTATTTAAAAATCCTAAAAATGAAGTGATAAATAGTTATGGGAAGAGGACTGTAGATTTTTTCTTAGATGTGTGTGTGTGTATTGGGTCTCCTTGGGGGCATGATCGACCATATACATACTAAGTCTATGTTTCAAGCCATCGAAAATAAATGCTGGAACTTCGGATACACCAGACATCAAAACATACAAACCTTCCTTACCAAAAAAAAAAAACATACAAACCTTGCCTTACATTTCCAAAGTGGGTTTTTTCTATGATTTTTCTTTTCCCCCACTACTAAATACCCTGAGGACATTCTCATTTCATCTTTCGAAGTACATACTGCCAACCGAAGCCAGAGCTTCCTAGAAAATAATTTTCAAGATGCTAAGATATATTGTCCTGAGCTTGCTCAGACCAAATAGTCATAATAAGGTTTTCTGGTACATTGTGAAGGAGTTGCTACGTCTTTGTTAGATAGTAGATTACATACTTTAGCTGTTGACTCCTCCAAATTCTGAGAAGTTCCAAAACTTTGTGCAGATTTGAAGGTTCTAGCGTTGCAAATTGGTTCATTTACCTTGCGACAGATTAAAGCTGCTACAAACAATTTTGATGCTGCCAATAAGATTGGAGAAGGTGGTTTTGGTTCTGTATACAAGGTATGCTGGAAAATCGGTGAGCCAACTTCCCCCAATCCCCAACAAAAAATATCTGTAGAAAAGCAGCATTCAATGTCTAAATCTTCACAGCATAGATCTGATGCCAAAGTTCGATTGCAGGGTCTTCTGTCAGATGGCACCACTATAGCAGTGAAGCAGCTTTCATCCAAATCAAAGCAAGGAAATCGTGAGTTTGTGACTGAGCTTGGGATGATTTCTGCTCTTCAACATCCGCATCTTGTGAAACTCTATGGATGCTGCATTGAAGGAAATCAACTTTTGTTGGTTTACGAGTACATGGAAAATAACAGTCTTGCTCGCGCTTTATTTGGTAATTTGATATCACATTGTGCTTCACTGACTTCAGTTAATGACATGGCAGTAAAGCAGTTTTGATGTCTTCTGATACAATTGAAGGTCCTGAAGAATTTCAGTTAAAGTTGGATTGGCAGACAAGACACAAGATATGTGTGGGTATTGCCAGGGGGTTGGCATATCTTCATGAAGAATCAAGGCTGAAGATTGTGCATAGAGACATCAAAGCTACTAATGTTTTACTGGATAAGGATCTCAACCCCAAAATATCAGATTTTGGTTTAGCAAAGCTTGATGAGGAGGACAACACACATATTAGCACCAAGATTGCTGGAACTTAGTAAGTTTCTTGCTTTGTGTTCCTGTTTACCTAATTAGGAGCCAGTGACAGCATAAAAGAATGGAGTAGAAAAATCTCGTCTAATTCAAGGAAAGTGAGTTGAATAGAGCTTTGTGGTTGACTCACATCATCCCAAAGCACGGTGCTCAAAAAATGGGCTTGGCTTTAGAAAATTACAGCAACAATGACAACAACAGAACTACGAAGCTTTTTTGCCTCTGGGCTTGGCTTTAGGAATCCTCCTACAGCTGCTGCCTATGTATTCAGATCTTGTCTCAGCTGCTTCCAACTCTTTTTTCAGTTAAAGAGCCTCTTTTCCAAGTTATAAGGATGCACTTGTTTTCCAACTACGAAGCTACGTAAACCCTGAAAGTTATATAGAACCACAAATGTTCTTTCTTATTTTGAAATATTGTCGGCGGAATCCTATTAAAAAATTTCTAGGATGCACTTGTTTTGTTCCTCTGACTCTTGAGACCATGGTGTCACAGTTAGGAATATCTCCTTATTTTGTATTTTAGGAAGATAAGAGGGACGAGCAAAATGTATCTTCGGAAGAAAATATTAAGTGCTATCTAAGACATTTGCCTTGTTACAGACACAAGCTCTTTTCTTGTTATGCAGTGGATATATGGCTCCGGAGTACGCAATGCATGGTTACCTCACTGACAAAGCCGACATTTATAGTTTTGGCATCGTCGCCTTAGAAGTTGTTAGTGGCAGGAGCAACACCAGTTACCAAAAGAAGGAGAAATGCTTTTATCTTCTTGATTGGGTAATTAACTCTAGCATTCAAAAGTTTCTTATTATGATAGTATCCATATTTAAATCTCTGCTAGTGCTGGTTGAAAGATGGATTAAGGAAGCGTGAACATAGCATGTAACTCCTCATATGCACTTTTAATGGTTGCAAAGGAGAGTTACAATTACCAGCTATTGAAACCCTTTTAACCAATTTTCATGCCATTAAGTGCAATCTGTCATTTCAAATTAATCCAATTCTTCTTATTATGTTGGTCTACACTGAATTTGAAAGGAGAAAGTAATCCTTGAGATAGCTAGTCGATGGTGTTCATGCTTAAGATGTGCGACTTGGGGTGCGGGCGGTCACGGATTAGTCTGGTTCTAAGAAATTGAAACTGGAACCTACCTAGTGACACATTGAAACTCAAAACAACGGGCTACCGCCTGATTTGAAGGAATCGTGTAGATTCTTTCTTTGGATTGAAGACAATTCTATTCATTGAAATTTGGGTTCCTTAAAACTTGGGTTAGTTTAGTTTTAGTCCTTATAGTTTTATGCGTGACATTCGTACTCCCTGTAGTTTCATTAGCGCCAAACGAGTCCTTCGAGTACTTTTGAGTTTTGACAGTTACTGTGGGATTTAAAAAGTTTTCAAGACCATGTCTTGACCCAAATATTCATACACTTTCCATTTGGATTTGAGTTTAAATGGCATCCATATAATTGAGTCCTTACGTTAGGTCTTATTTCGCTTTGAGTAAACCAATCATTATTAGTCCCCGTTAAATCTGATTTTCACCTAAGTTTCATAATCAGGTAATTCTTGTTAAACTAGAATTGAGAGTAAAAGGCAACGAATGGTGTAAACCATTGATGGACGATTCTACTGTTTGTTTCATGTAATGACAAACTGACAAATAATTCCTGCCTGTAAAACTCGATTAGAGCTGGTAATTTTAAATCAGTGGTGGTAATTTTTTTGCGACCGGTTAACCGTTAGCTAGCAAGTGATCAACTAATGTTTGAGTTTACTAACTTCTACTTAAAATTGGTAAAGAAATCATGTTTCATCTGGATCGACTCTTTAGATTTTTTCCTTCCATTTGTAACTTAAAACGAAGATGAAAAGCTAGCAGGTGCTCATCAACTGCTTTTGTCATGGAATTATTGAGGGCAGAATATATTTCCTTTCTTCCTGTTTTAGTATTCTGAGCATATTCTGCAACTGATCAGTACCTGAAGCTTGAGAGGGAAATATCTTCCTTTTTATTTCTACTTCTAGGCACGACTTTTGAAGGAGAAAGGAAATTTGATGGATCTAGTTGATCGGAGGCTGGGTTCTCAATTTGACCAAGAGGAGGTGTTGGCGATGATAAAGGTAGCTCTGCTGTGTACTAATGCGACTCCGGCACTCAGGCCGCCGATGTCATCTGTGGTTAGCATGCTCGAAGGCAAGGCTGCTGTTCCAGTGCTGGACACTGAGGGTGCTATTGCAACGGAGGAGACAATTGAGGCGATGAGGAAGCATTTCAAAGGTGAAGAAGATCAGGAAGTTGGTGAGAATATCACCAAGAGCATGTCCACTGAAGGGCCATGGACTGGAACCGCTTCTTCTACATCTGCTAATGATCTCTATCCGATAAATCTGGACACTGATTACTGGCAGAACAGAAAATAAGAAATAATTTGCTATCTTCTAAGTTAATTCGTTTTTTAAAGAACTAGGGCTTTATTTGGTAATCCATCGAAAGGAACTCTTAAATTTCGCTTCGAATTTCTCTTTTGTTCGCATTTGAAATTGAAGGTATCGATACTATAAAGAAAACGACGACTATTATGCAGTGCAATAATTGTGTATTGTGAACTAATTACAGGGGAAAGCCAAAAGACTGAAGGCTTGTTGTTTGATGGTTGTATTCGTGCTGTTTCTTTCAATATTGTTATTCGTACAGAGACGATGTTACGACTTCTTCACACATTAATGATGTGGATGGTTGCCACTGCAAGGGTGGGAATCTTGCCATTGTTTGAATGGTGAGATGTGCGAAGCGGCACGTTCTTGCTATGGATGTGTTTTGTTCCCGAGTTGGACCTGTTATATGTTGCTACTCGTGAATTGTTTAAAGAAAATGGAGTTTCTCTCTTTAGTGTGGATGATGACCAGTGTAACAGTCTGAATTTTCGATCATTTTCCCGGGATTTAGGAAATGAATTTGATCAATGCACTTATAGTGAGATCTCACCCGGAAATGCGCATTCTCGGGATGCTAACCTTAGGGGTAGGGCCGTTACGGGATTGAGTTCGCACGACCAAAGAACTCGACCTGGGTTCAATCTTTGACCATATGGATTGACGAGGGAATGTTTTGAGCCAAGAGACCGGTCTACTTGATTGATCGTGTCCGAAGGAACTAGCGACAGAGACCCTCGCAATTATATGACAACCGAGGTCGTCCCGGGTGGAGTAAACTTAAACGTGATTTGACTTAGTGTCAGTCACGGGTCGAGAGCGCGTAATCCCAATGAGCCACCCGTTAGCCAGAGATAAGCTAAAATCGCGATTGTTCGATTTTAGTCATTTCTTGGAATTCGGGCCCGGGAATCGAGAATTTTGAAAGTGACAATTTTGGACGGCCGATGACGTTTTTGGCTTGGCCAACCTTGGGGCCACCCATTTACGCAAAAAAATGGATTTCGGTCAGGGCGGAAAAATTACGGTTTTGCCCCTGGGCAGAGCTGGATTCGGAGGCCGTTTGAGGTTATTTTTCGCGGCCAAGGTCATTTTGGGGTGGCCACGCACATTCAGAGTGGTTTTGGCCAAAAATTGGAATTTCGACAAAAATTGGAAAAATAATATTATTTTATTCCCGAGACTTTGACATGGATTTTCGAGGGCTTGCGCAATGAATTTCGCGATTCCGACGCCATATTATGTTGGCCACGCACATATGGAACATGTATGTGCGAAAATTGGAATTTCGGTTCGGGATCGGAAAATTACGAAAATGCCCCTAAGACCATTTTATTTAATTCCGAAAATTGGTCAAAATTTTGGGGTTAACCAAGGTTAATTGGGATTAAACCAGGTCTGGTCAACCATGGTTAGGGACAAAAGACCATTTCACCCCTAAATTATTGGATGAGAAGGAAAGATAGCCATTGGATCAAGGGCAAAATTGTCCAATTGGCCTAGATTGAGACACATGGATTCCACTCACACCAAACTTTGACTCATTTGACCAGACTATTCTCTTTCTCGTGAAGACCATTCAGCCATTTCCCCCAAAATTTTCTCTCTTTTCCCGTTTCCATTTCTGCAGTTTACGTTTCGCTCAAGCCTAAGTGCTTGTTCACGGCGAAGCATTACCCAGGGATGCTTGGCCGCCCACCAGCCGTCGCCACAGCACCCTTGGACCTCCCTCTCACTGTTCGGCCACCACGGCCCGGTTTCGATCCATAACCCTCTCTCTCTCTTTTTTCTCTCTTCCCGTTACGCAAAGATGCACGCCGGAGCTTCGCGGAGCTCGATCGCTGTTCGTTGACACCCGGCCGTCCGGCACGTCCATACGTCGCCGCCCAGTACCGTCCGTACAGTGTCCGTAACGGGGGGTACTGTTCACCGTCCGTACGGATCACTGTTCACGCCGGACCGTACGGACGCTTTGCGCGGCATGTTATCCCACCGGCACCTCGCCAGGCCACGTCCCAGCCACTGTCCGTACGGTGTACAGCTACGAAAAGTAAATGCGTTCACACCGTCCGTGACGTCGCCGGCGCTACTCCCATTCTTGCTGCTGTCCGACCCGTTCCGGCCCGTTCTGTCTCGCCTTTTTGGGTAAGTGTTTTCCCCAAATGTCATTTAGGAGTTCGGGTATCGTAGGGCATGTTTAGGATTTAGTTCGGGTAGTTCATGTGGCTATTTTAGGACTAAATTGAAGGCTGATTGTGGGGTTGTTGTGGGCTGAATCGAAGACTGAGTTGGCAAGGAAATTTGCGAGGTTTAGGAGGCTCGATGATGGCTGAGGTGTTGTGGATTGATTGTGACTGAATTGTGCGATTGATTGGTAGAATTATGCCTCGAATGGCACTTTGTATATGGTTGTGTGGCTCGTGATGGTTGGCTTGTTTGGTGTGTGTTTCGGACTGAATGTGGCTTGGCCGTGTGCCTCGTGTGTGTGGCCGTGAGGTGTGTGAGTATGGGAGTGTGATTGTGCAATGAATTTGTGTACCAAGAGTGTGTGGTTATGTGTGCGTGTTCGTGTGACGAGAATGAGTAATCGTGAAATGTGTGTGAGGTGTGTATGTTTGACCATACGTGGTGGATTGTGTGTAAGGCGTGAGGTTGTGTATGACCGTGAGTGTTGCTGGCCATGTGTAAGTGTGGTTTGAGTGGAACGAGGGTACGGAAATGTAGGATTGGTTGGAAAGGATCCGTCCTGAGGCGTGTACGTTTACGCGGAACGATGCCGTCCCTGACGAGGTGACGATGCCCGGCCCGACAGGGTGTCGATGCCTGACATGGTCAGAAGACCGTTGGCCTGATGCGTTTTACGCGGGCGCGGTAGAAGGAAAGTGTGTGTAGGATTCCGTCCTGAGGCGTGTACGTTTACGCGGGACGATGCCGTCCCTGACAAGGTAACGATGCCCGGCCCGACGGGGTGACGATGCCTGACGAGGTCAGAAGACCGTTGGCCTGATGCGTTTTACGCGGGCGCGGTAGTGGTGGAAAGGTTGAGAATGAGTGGGATTTGGCAAGACAAGCGAGAGGATTGTGGAAAGTGACGCATGGTGTGAGTAGCGTGCGAGTGTGTTTGTATCGCGCGATGTGATGCTTAATTATGGGGTAGAAACTGCTAGGCACGGTATGGGACGTGCCCAGTGGTTTCTGTCTTATAATTGAGGTACGCGCGTCTGTGATTCCTTCTTTGTGATGTGTTGGTGTGTTATTGTCTAACGTGCGGGAACGTGCGTGATGGATTCCGGTAGGGTCGCATGTGATTGTTAGTTTGGCCGATCGTTGTGTGTTATGTGTGTTTTCGTGCGGCGGTGCGCGAGTGCCTACGTGGGGTTTGGGGTTGTACACTTATTGAGATTCGTCTCACGGTTGTATAACCGCCACTTTCGAACCCGGCCCTAAACCGGGAAGTGTGCCTTTTCTTTTTGGAAGTCAGGGAGGCTGTTGTTGGTGCCGGTGGAGGCTGCGGTGAGTTCCGGAGATTCAAGCCGAAAATTCGAAGCGAGAATGGAAGATGGCGACCCTTAGGTTTTTCCCTAGGGTGTTTTAGGGGTTGTATAACTTGGGTTATCCGATAGTGAAGTTAAGATAACCAAACCCCTGAACTTTTGTTTAAACGGTGACTGAGGATGTTAGTCGTATTTATGTACGTAATATGATGTTTGTATATTTGGTGTTGTATGAATATGTGGTTCTTTGGATTGTTCATTGTTCTACCCGTTTATCGTCAATATTTGTCCGGGATTTTGTTATTCGCTTCCGCATGTGGCTCTGATGTTTGGATTGGGTCGGCGACGTTCCTGGGACGTCGCAACATTTCGACCGGAGCGAGATGTCGCGAGCTCGATGGGGTTCGGGGCATGACAATTAGCCAACTTCATCTATCCCATCTTTGATAAACGATAAAAGGGAATACTACATTTACAACCAAAAAAACAAAAACTGTAGAAACGGTTTGAATCAATGTGAAAACGGTCTTAAGTTAATGTCAAAAGAATCGATGGATAATAACACAAATGGTCCCTGAACTTTAACCCAATATGTAATGTGGTTTCTGAACTTTTAATTTATTCAACGTGGTCCTTGAATTTTGGCACAATGTTCAATGTGATCCATAAACTTTTAATTCGTTCAATTTAGCCCATTAACTCTTGGTACACATTCAATGTAGTCCCTAAGCTATATGAAAACCTTTAATGTAGTCCTTGATCTTGAATTAATGGAATGATTGTATTTAATATTTTCATATAGTTTATGAACTAAATTGAACATATATCAAAAGTTTAGAGATCACATTGAACAAATTAAAAGTTCATGGACCATATTGCACATTGAGTTAAATTTCAGGTACTACATTGAATAAATTAAAAGTTTATGGACCATATTACATACTGAGCCAAAATTCATGAACTACTTGTGTCATTTTCTCGAGAATCAAACAAGTTGAATTTCAATGGGCTCGTTTGCTCCCTCCGAGATCCGAGATGACTAACTTGACATCCCACGACGAGGTGGTGGGCCCCACCAACCTGAAGTGTCAACATCAAAGGCGGTGATTGGCTGCTACTCCTACAACTACAACTAGCTCAGCAAAGCCGAAAAAGGTCAAATCTGCTGCGACTTCCTAAATCCTATAATTCCTAACCCAGCCCTCTACCGAAAACGGAAACCAAATCCTGTATTAAGCGACTAGCCAGAAAAGAAAAACCAAAGAAGGTACATTAAGTAGAATCCAACAAACGCCTGTATCTCAGTGGACCATAACCTGTGGTTTCTCTCACCCCCCACCTTAAATCTTAACCCAGAATCCAAACTCACTCTCTCTCTCTCTCTCTCTCTGCAAAAAGAGCCTTTTGTGTTTGCTATGTTGCTGTGAGAGAAAAAATGGGTTGGGGTTGGTGGGTACAGAGGCAATGCAGATGGGCTTCTCCTTCGCATTCTTTCCATTGGAAACTGGTCTTGACGTTGCTGATATGGGGAGGGACCTGGGGCGCGGAAGCAGCGCTAGGAAGCGGCAACAGGGACCCCGGGTGTGATGTGTTCCAGGGGAGCTGGGTGGCGGACCAATCCTACCCTCTCTACAACTCCTCCGTCTGTCCCTTCATCGAGCGCGAGTTCGCCTGCCTCAGGAACGGCCGCCCCGACCTCTCCTTCGCCAAGTACCGGTGGCAGCCCCTCGGCCGCGGCTGCTCCTTGTCCAGGTACTCTCCCTCCTCTCCGCTCGCCTTTATCGCTTCCTTAGGTGCAGGAAACGAAACCCATTGCGGCATTGATTGGATTAGCTTGATGGGCGTCTGTGTGTGTTCTGTAATGGTCCCATTTCGTGCGGTCGCGGAGCTCCCTCGCAACAACCATGGTTTCGTAACCCAAAAAGTTTTCTCTCTTTTTGACAATTGCTGTGCCAACAAATATGTCCCCACCGACAGTGGACAACAGCAACGATTTGTTAATACTAAACTTTCAAGTGATTTTGCGCCCCCCCTATCGTAGAAGCCACCGCCTTTAAATCTGATAACAAATCTTTAATAAATCATACAATTAATCAAGGTGACGGATTTTGCTTTCCTTTGTCAAGCTCACCCCCGTTGTAACATGGCTTCTGAATTTGCCGATATAATCCTGGTTATAGATGTTGTCATTTTGACTACCAACAAACACCCTTTTTCAGGAAGAAAGAAAGATTTTTGGCTCGCCTTAGAACTGTTAAAATATGTCAAAAATCCATATCTTAACTCAAAGTTATGAAAATGGGTCATAACCGGGTTCGTTTTAAAATTAAGATACGGGTTATAAAGGGATCATAAGTTAAAAAGCTCACCATAAATAGGTTATGGGTCCATTTAACCTACTTAGCAGTCAAGTATAGGGAGGAATCTTCGATTTTCAAGATATTCATTATTCCCGTTATTAAAAGAGAAGTATATGTTGCTATTTCGATATTCGATTTTGCTCCAAACATGAAAAGTTTTTTTTAATGTTACGCGTAATCGATATTTACATTCCTTGTTAAACATTCCCTTAAATTAGTAATTTAGTATTTATAATAACGAAATTTATCAACAAAAATCTTTTTTTTATTCCATCACTTTCGTGTCCGGGTGGCATCTCGTGAAGCGACACAGCTAATGATTTTCACGCCTACTATTTCCACGGAGCGGCAGCGCGTGTTCATCACTGTATAAGGACAGTAGGAGCTACTCGCGCGTCGATTGGGCTGTCCATGCCACGCTCAGGCGGAGCGCGTGGAAATAGCTAGAGCGGAAAAATACGACAGAGATTGCTTTTCCCCCGGGAAACTCAAAGCTCACCGGTTGGTGAGTTCCGTCAAGCTCACGGACGGTCACGGGCTGCAGCAGCAACTAGCGTTGCATTGAATTTGACAAAATTTCATTTTTAAAATTTGCGGTACTTCACGTGAGAGATTTATCAAATTCTAACAATTAAATATTATGTATGTAATAATACTTCGATTAGGGAGACTCTTAAGCGGTCACGTTTAATAATTTTTATAATTAATTCGACGAATTAACAATAAGTTATATAAGTGCGCGCCCCTTATAGATTTCGTGTTAGTTAAACCAAAGATCGTGCATGGTTTACTATTGAAATAGCTCCTTCCGGCTTTTGTAACTGTGGATCAGGATTGGGTTCCGTTTCTAGGAGGGGATGATTTATCGATTTTGGCTTGTCGATTCCGTAGGTTTGATGGCCGTGACTTTTTGGAGAGGATGAGGGGGAAGGCGATCATGTTCGTGGGGGATTCGCTTAGCCGGAATCAGTGGCAGTCTTTGACGTGCATGCTTCACTCGGCGGTGCCCGACGCCAAGTACAACGTTACGAGACAAGGCGACGTCTCCACTTTCGCCTTAACGGTACGTGTCTCATTGCTTTCATTCTTCCACTCTGGTTTGAAATTAGATTAGATTGGATTAGATTATGTGAGATCAGAGGTAGCACAGATCTTATTTGCAGGATTTCTTACTAGGAATCTGGTTGGGATCTCAGTGGCCATATGAATTGACCATATTTTGAAGTCTTCAGATCTCATTGTTTTTTCATCTACAATGACCATGTTTTCCTGACTGCAATGTCATTATAGACCTTGCATGTGCAACAGTTGTTCATTAGCTGACATTCATTGACTCTGCCAGTGTCTGCTAAAACCCAGAGAAAAGTTGAGCTGCTTCTGAACTATTATATAAACTTAAAGGAGCAGCAGCTTTCATGGGAGATTCTATTAAAAATTCGATCTGTCTCACCCTCATCTATCTGAGAGCCACACATGAATCCCAGGGCTAACGACAGTAGCTTTTGTCATTTATTTGGCCGACCATTTGGTCCTCTTGCCCCATCTTTTGCATGCGAGTGTTCTTAAAAGTTAGTTTTCCGTTCCTGCAAAACTGCAAATTGATTGTCCTTTCCATTCCCCCCCCAAAAAGTCGCTTGAAAAAAGGCGCGAAATCGCTGCTCCTCGCGCGCATTGTAATCCTTTTTAGCTGTAATCGCACTTTTCGTTTCTTATGTCACATTGAAAGCGTAACATCACGAACTGATGAGGCATGCTGAGCAAGAACTAACAGAGGAGCACGAGCAAGTTCCTATTTGTGTGCTTGTATCGAGATACATGTTGTCCGAGGCATGATTTGTACTTTCGCAGGACTATGGGGTTAAAGTGATGCTTGATCGCAATGTGTTCCTAGTGGATGTGGTGCGAGAACCAATCGGACGGGTCCTGAAGCTCGACTCGATCCAAGGAGGCAAACTATGGATGGGGATTGATCTGCTCATCTTCAATACCTGGCACTGGTGGAACCGCCGAGGGCCCACTCAACCGTACGTCTCTACGTGATTAAGAACAGTGTCATTGTAGCAACAGACAGAGAACGACTTCCTTAATATCAGATCTATATGGGAGAAATTGGACTAATGTTTTCATATGCTTTGTCGTTGCCCCAGGTGGGATTATATACAAGAAGGTAAGCAGATTTACAAAGACATGGATCGTATGGTCGCTTTCGAGAAGGCACTAACGACTTGGGCTGGGTGGGTCGACACCAACATCGACCCAGCCAAGTCTAAAGTTTTCTTCCAAGGAATTTCTCCCTCTCATTACGAGTACTGATCCTCAAAACCATTTGGAATGACCCTATGAAAGTTCTTAAATATTCAACATATGTCGTAATTCTTCTAATTCATGTATGTTTTAATGTATCAGTGGAACTCTATGGGGTGAACCAAGCGCAAAGAGTTGCTTAGGCCAGAAGCAGCCGGTGCTTGGCTCGACTTATCCAGGGGGCCTGCCACCAGCTGTGGCGGTCTTGAAGGGTGTACTGAGTAAGATCAAGAAGCCTGTGGTGTTACTGGACATAACAAATTTGTCGCTGCTGCGTAAAGATGGACATCCTTCAATATATGGCCTTGGTGGGAGAACGGCGACGGATTGTAGCCATTGGTGCTTAGCAGGCGTTCCAGATACTTGGAACGAGATTCTTTACAATCTCATTCTTTAACAAAGAGAGGCTCATCTCGGGTCCCATTCATAATGAGAAATTTGAATTAGGAGATAATAAAGCAATAGAATTTGTTGGATTGGTTGCCTCTTCATATTGCATTACCAAATTGATATATGGTAATCTTGTTTCTTCTTGTTCATTTTTCTCCTAATGAAACTCTCAGACAACAGACCTACCAGATAGAACCAGCCACAAGAAAAACTCATCTAACATAAGCAAATGAATAACAGACCCGCCACTTTTTTTCCGTAAGTACTACGAAAGTTTGCAAATCTGTTTTCATGGTTTATGTTCTTGAGACAATTCAAGAAATTATATTTGAGGCTTTGGAGGACTAAACAGCAGAACCCTGAACGAAAGAATGATTGACCTCAGTTTTTGAGAACTGAACTAAGAACAATCATGCACTCTTATTCCTCTGAGTAGACACTCAAAACCCATGACATAGTTTCTCTGCCGTGGAGAATAGGTAAAGTTTCGAAAAAAACATGGCAAACTCCATGTGATTTACATTTTTCATATAAATTCTCTCTCAACCTACTGGGGTCCAATCATCTCGATCTGGTGTGCACTCTCGCGCTCATGCCCAAAAATATGGGTCTCAAAAGTCGGATCAGCTCGGCGTATGCCGTTCTGTTAATTTGGGGTCTTCTCCGAGCCAAAGGCATTGCCAAGGGAGAGCCAAATGAACACCCTGGTGATTGTGATTTATTCCAAGGGAGTTGGGTGTATGATGACACATCATACCCTCTATACAACACCTCGACATGCCCATTCATCCAGAAACAGTTTGATTGCCAGGGGAATGGACGACCTGATAAATTCTACTTGCATTACAGATGGAAGCCTAGTGTTTGTGCACTACCCAAGTATACACGTCGCAATCTTGAACTCTCTGTCCATTTCTTTGATCTTTTTCACAAAATTGTCTCATATTCAAGGAAATAAAGCCGTCCTGGATTTTGAAGTCGCGACTGTTTTGATGATTTACGAATATTTGGAGTGGTTGGATACTGTAATTTCTTCAGGGGGAGCGAGTGATTCCTATCGGATGATGTGATGCAGGTTCGATAGCCAGGATTTCCTGAGGAGGATGAAGGGGAAGAAGATGCTATTTGTGGGCGACTCGCTGAGCGTCAATCAGTGGCAGTCACTCACCTGTATATTGCATGCTTCGGTTCCCAAGTCCAAGTACACACTCTCCACAAACAATGTTCTCTCCGCTTTCATCCTCCCGGTGAGTTTCGCTATCGATATTAGCCTGCCTACTACAATGAGTTGTACACTATTTACTTCGTACGAGTTGTTAATTTCGGTGACACAGCGGAAGCGGATTGTAACTTTGCAATTAAGTTGGGAGCTATAGAAACCAACAGAGAAGTAAAACGAGGAACGATAAAAGGACACGAAAAAATTTACGTGGTTCCGTCCGAATATCGGAACCTACATCCACGGAGGAGAGCCAACAAATTATCCACTAATAAATAGGAGAAATACAGAATTTACAATCACTCACACGTTCGAGTATTTTCCAATCCTAGTATATACCCAACACCCGCAATGTTTAATAACTCAACTCGATGGACTCGCTCTTGGCACAAATCTCTCCGTCTCTTGAGAGCTCCTCCTTCCCTTTTCATCTCTGGAGCTCTCTAAAGTCCGTCATTCTCTCTTCTTCTTCCGTCTCTTGCTTTTATGGAAGCGGGGAGCAATTTCAAGAGAGAAGGAAGTCAAGAAGGCGCCCATAACCTTTGAAGATAATCATAAGAAGGTGTGGGTCGCCGTCTTCACAGATCTTGTCCATTGTCGTTCAGCTCCTTCAATTAATGCGCACATGGAATGTGACGACCCAGACCCCAAGTGGCGGGCACAGGATGAGGGATAGCAGGAGAGGTTGCGCCTCTACCCTGGACATGCGCAGGGCGAGGCTGAGCGCACGTCTCTTATCTCACATTGCCGAGGGGGGAGTCCTGGGCTAGTTGATAAGGTTTTAAAGGGTCAATTGGCTCAAAACGGACAATATTACATAGTGGTAGCCGCAGGTCCTTACATGGAAGCTTCATTGTTCTTTCCTTTACAACCAAAGGAAAAAGCTAAGGAAAGAAACAAAGAAGTTAATGAAAGAGGAAAAAACAACCCCACAACTTTTTTCTTTGGTCAATTCTTCTTGCGGTGGAGTCTCTACGTAAAACCAAGAAAGAGAATAAATGCAAAGATCGTGGAGACCTCCTTTTTCAGCTGAAGCAAATCTCTCTCTGACCTTGCTTCAGTCCCGTGCGATCCTTCAGGGACAAAACTTCGGATATTTCTTTTCGCGCGAAGTTGGTGAAGAAATTCTGACCAACTTAGACGATTTCGTCGCGCTCCTAAAATCGCTCGGATCGATTTGCATCCATCGAATTGGCTGAAACTCGAGGCATAAATTAACGCGAGTCATTCACATCGATCATCATTCTGGTTCATTGACTATAAAGTGAACCGATGTTAGAAAACTAATATACTGTTTTGCAGGATTATGGGATATCCATTGTGCTATCAAGAAACAATTTCCTTGTGGATATTGTCGAGGAGAAGATAGGGAGAGTCCTAAAGGTCGACTCTATTGCTAACGGCAGCGCATGGAAAGGATACGACGTTCTAATTTTCAACACATGGCACTGGTGGCTTCACAGAGGCAAGATGCAACCGTGAGATATTGCTGCGCGTCAAGTGTTAAGTCTGATGTATAGGGAATGAATCGTGAGAGAATAGTTTCAACGAAGTCAACAAATTCACCTGTAATAGGAATTGGAACTCCTCGTTCGAGCATAGTTTTAACCATGCTTTTCAAAATGAGATCAAAACACTATGAAGAAAAACTGTCATTCTTGAGCTACTGATATATTTTTGGTGTATCAGGTGGGACTATATTCAAATAGGCGACACAGTACTCAAAGATATGGACCGCTTGGTTGCTTTCCGAGACGGACTGACCACATGGTCGAAATGGGTAGAATCCAACATCGATCCGACCGCTACTAAAGTGTTCTTTCAGGGAATTTCTCCCACACATTACAAGTAATCTCTCTTAAACTTTCATTAGTTTGACAAGATATTATCAGGTGGTACATACAACGCTGTGTTCTACCCAATGATGTGATAGAAAGACTAATTGATACATGTATATAGATACATATATCGGCATGCTTCATTTCTTTGACATCTTATAATATGATTGCAGGGGCGAGGAATGGAAAGAACCAAAATCAACATGTAGCGGGCAAACGGAACCCGTTAAAGGGCCCGTGTATCCTGCAGGTCTGCCTCCGGCGGTGACCGTGGTGAAGGAAGTCTTAGCCAACATGTCCACAACTGCCGAGGCCGTCACTTTGCTTGACATAACAACGCTGTCGCAGCTGAGGAAAGACGGGCACCCATCTAGATATGGCGGAATTCACGGCAAAGCAAAGATTGATTGCAGTCATTGGTGTCTCGCCGGCGTTCCCGACACTTGGAACGAAATACTGCGTGCTATTCTCGACACGAATTCCGTATAAGCACACACACGCACGCACACGCCTCGAGGATATTGGTGTCCGCATAAAATTCGAAAAGTGGTCATTAAGAGCAACGATCATGTACCTCCTCGGTCAATCAATTGTTTAAGGAAGTAGTGAGTATGAGTAATTTCGTTTCCTTTTCTATGTTTTTCCTAAGAGATATCCATTGATGTGCTGGTATATCAAAGATAAGGATCGGTGGTAATGGTTAAGAGAAGTTCTTATAATGGCAACACTATAAATGGAAGATTGTTACCTTCCATGCTCTATCTCAAGCCAGTATCTTTATTTAATCCAGCTAGATTTCCAGAAGCCGAACGAATAAGTGGGAAACAAATCTCTCTCTCTCTCTCTCTCTCTCTCTCTCTCTCTCTCTCTCTCTCTCTCTCTCTCTCTCTCTCTCTCTGCGTTTCCTGTCAGAATAATTTGATATGGAGGATCGTTTCTTTCCGTGTAGAGAAGATCGTCCCGCGCTAAGTTTAGTTAAGAAAAGGAAATTCTTTGTGGCATGCAGTGGCAGTGCTTCCAGAATAAGAAACGCGGAAGAGAAGATTTCTTGCCTTGCTTTGTGATTTATTGAGGGTGTGAGTCATATCCGATTCCTTCTTCTGCGTTGGAAAATTCAGTGCTCGTAGACTTTCTCCCAAAGACTCTGTCGAAAATGGCTTCTGGGTTCGGTTCCTGGCATTGCCTTGTGGCTTTCTTTGTGTTTGGGATAGGGTCTCTGTCTTGCCAGGGGATCGCAGATGAACTGCACATCGACGACCAGCTAAGGAACTGCAATCTGTACGAAGGGAGTTGGGTTCATGATGATTCACACCCCATCTATGAAGCTTCGAACTGCCCCTTCATAGACCAAGGATTTGACTGCCTGAAAAATGGCAGGACTGATAAGGATTACCTTAAGTACAGATGGAAGCCGAGCGGATGCGACCTTCCACGGTATGTCATCGATGTCTATCACAGTCCAGAATGCAATATTTACTTTGGCTTTGTTGTTTTTGTTTTTGCTTAAGGATGAGACAAGGGCATAGAGCTATTAGATTCTGGTTACAATTAGACTTAAGTCAGTCATAGGACTCGTTTGAATTTTGCGCGTTGGATGATGCTACTGGCTGCTGTTATGCATACATTCAATTGCCTCATTCAAGCCCCGGAAGATCCTAGAGAAATATGTCACCTAAAGCACTTCGTTGATGGCAGGTTCATCGGCCGCGATTTTCTGGAGAGGGAAAGGGGCAAGAAGATAATGTTTGTCGGGGATTCCCTGAGCAAAAACATGTGGCAGTCGCTGACATGCGCGCTTCACTCTGCCGTTCCAGGGTCTAAGTACGACTTAACAGAACAAGGGAAGCTCTCGACTTTTTCTATTCCGGTATGATCAATTCGTTCAGATTGCTACATCACAAAATGCTGAGTTCCGACCAACTTGGTTGTGCGACGATTCTTTTCAGTTCTCAGTAGTTTTTAACCTTGTGCTTGTCTCTAGGAATACGGAGTTTCAGTGATGTGGTTGAAAAATGGATTCCTGGTAGATGTGGTGACAGAGAAAATCGGACGAGTACTGAAGCTGGACCGTATCACCACCGGCAACGAATGGTTAGGCAATGACATGTTGATATTCAACACATACCATTGGTGGTTGCACCAAGGACAATCGAAGACGTGAGGGGACGATTCGCATCAGTCAATCAATATTTTTATTTCCCTTAAAAAATTATATGAGATGATGAAACGGAACGACAAAAATGATCTCGTCATGTGTAATGCAGGTGGGATTACTTCCAAGTAGGAAACATGACGGTGAAAGAAATGGACCGCATGGAAGCGTACGAGATAGCGCTCACAACTTGGTCCAGATGGATCGATGCCAATATCGATCCGGTGGACACTCAAGTCTTCTTCCAGGGAGTTTCTGCTGCTCATTTCGAGTAAGCTACGATCTGCCTCACCTTTTCTTACTCTTTCGGCCTTTTACATTTTATAGTATACCATCTTAAAAGTATTCTGCCAGTCATAGGACTTTCTAGGATACACTACAATGCACAGGTCAGGCAAATTCTGAGTTCTGTGCATTTCATACTAGGTTCATGTTTCTCACTGATTCTTTCTCAGTTTTAACTTTGATTTCGCAATTGGTCTTTATGATTTTAAGAGAATTGTTATCTAGGCACACTTTCTCAAATAGCTTCAGCGGATCTGAGATTGAATAGTAGTCTGCAATTTTTTTTTCTCACAGTGCTATAAGTTCACACCACCTTCGTAGTACGAGTCCATTTAACAGTAATAATCTGTGCTAATGAATTTTCCTGAACCTCCCTCCTTCGAATGAAATTTAGTGGCAGTGAATGGAATGAAACCAGCACACAGACCTGCGAAGGACAGATGGAACCGGTGAAGGGATCGGTTTATCCGGGCCCTAGTATTCCAGGAGAGGATACTGTTAAGAAAGTGATTAGTCTGATGCAGAAGCCGGCGAAACTACTCGACTTGACATTGCTCACACAGCTCCGGAAAGATGGCCATCCTTCCATTTTCACTGGCCAAGGAAAGTCAATCGACGACTGCAGTCACTGGTGTCTCGCCGGAGTCCCGGACACTTGGAATGAGCTCCTCAACACGGTCCTAATCCTGATGTAATTCCCTCATAATCTTCTCTTTCCTGAAATCTTACATAAGGAGAGAATCATAACTTCACGCTGAATTTCCTTTATTTTATTTTCCAGCAACCCGAACGGAACTTCAGGGGCGGGGCCGGCTGCCAGTCCACAACCAGAGTCTCCTCCGGCTCCAAGTCCTCAACCGGTGGCGGGGGCTCCACCTTCCAGCTCCAGTCCACCACAGGCGTCTCCGGCTCCAAGTCGTCAACCAGTGGCAGGGGCTCCACCTTCCGGCTCCAGTCCACCACAGGCACCTCCAGCTCCAAGTCCTCAACCCGTGGCAGGGGCTCCACCTTCCAGCTCCAGTCCACCAGAGGCGCCTCCGGCTCCAAGTCCTCAACCAGTGGCGGGGGCTCCACCTTCCAGTTATAGTCCTCCGGCGCCGGTGGCTCCTGCATCCAGTCCTCAACCGGAGGCAGCTCCACCTTCCCATCATGGACACAAATCAGCTGGGCATGCTGTGTTACCAGCGCATGTCGGATTTGTTTTTGTTGAATTAGCTCCTGTTTTATTCTTGATTTTGCTGCTCTGAGGGTGACCTCTCATTCTATTTATTTTTAACGAATTATTCGATAGCCAAAAACATGTGAACCTTATTAATCTTATGTAGGGCTTCGTTGTTAATAAAGCTAGAACAGGATTAAGCAGTAGTTCATGTTTCATAAGGCTTGAAGTAGCGATATTCTACTTATCTTTTTTTAGAGCGAAAAACAAGTGAACCTAGCTCTAATGCCATCCACAGAGAAATTTTGAGATGCCGAATTATAGAGCCTAATGTAATTCTGATACAGTTATGTAAACCAAAACCAGAACTTTCGTTGTGCTTTGTGCTCCCATTTAAGTCCCGTGCGCTACTAACATATGAACTCCATGCCCATCTACAAATGCTACAAGCTAAAGTTCACATAGTCGATCCACTACAGCCTCAGCTATACCTCAATCCTTTTTCTAGCTTTATGAATGTGGGTTCAAAGTTCATCAATAGTTATTTTCAAGAGATAACATCATCCTTAAATATGATATGTTGTAGAAAGAAAGTACCATTCACTAAAGCCAACTAACATTTGCATACTAAAGCAACCCTCAGAGCAATATGGTGCATTCCATACCCAATACCCACATAAGCACTCTTAGGACAGGCATCTCGGTTCCATGGTTCGCATTACTGAAAGATGAACGATTCTTTCACGAGATAACCAATCTAAAAAAATTCTCTGTTGATGCAAAACATTCAATGAATTGCATTAAATTACAGAACCCTCCACCTCATTTCTTCAAATCCAAAGAACTGTAGATGGATTAGCAGAGTAAACTCAACTTCAGCAGTCAGTGTAAACAATGGCAGACTAGACTTCAGTGTGGCATGCCTGCATCTATCGCACAAAGCGGAAAAGACAACAAGACTGAAATGGAGGGAAGCAGAGCCCTGTGAATAAAATTCAAACTTCATTGCACAAAAAAGAAACTAAAGACTAGCAATTCTTTACGAGTACAATTCATAATTGTTATAATTCTCTTCAGCAAAATACCAATTCTCATTCATCTCTCCTTCTGTATCCTCTTGTCCCTGATGGGAAGCTCAATGGGCTTTTGCGCCTCGTGGGGGTGTTCTGGGCCCTTGTAAACCTTAAGGTGGTTGAACAATGCTCTGCCAAGCTGCACGCAAAAGACCTCATTCTAAGCTGCTAAACTCTATTACTTGTTCAACCAAAAAAAAAACTCTATTACTTGGAATGATCTTAGGCATTGCGGAAGAACTTAAAAGAAGCAAGGTGAGTCCCTAGAAGAGTTCAAATATCAAATATAAAGTACAGGGCAACAGCTAACAGTTAACGAGGTACATACTGTGAGCCATACAATATCCGCTCTCATACCTTCATATGATGCCACTGAACAGCCACACAAAGCATAGTTCAATCCCTCACAGAAAGATGCTGGCAACTATAAATTCTACTATAAGGGAATGTATGGCTACTACATCCTTAAGTTAAAGGGTGGAATTTTAAGAGAATACCAGGAGCCATGATGATGCTTAAATTAATCGACTGAATGAATGTAAGCTAAGCCGTATCCTGATTTTAAAAAATATAAAAATTGAAAAGAAATTACTATTGCCACCAAGTAAGACTTGGTCATTTTGAAAGAGCGTTAAGGGTGCCACACTATTGCTGGAGTAAAATAGTATTAAGCATTCTCATTTCTTGCATCTAGATCACTTCAATTCTACTTACATTTTGACAGCTGTATATATGTCGGTACCGAAACTTCTGGTATTTCTAGGCAGCAAATAAAATATCTTAATGTCCTCCATCTCCCATCCCATGATCCCACAGAGAATGCCACAGAGAAATACCAGTCTGAAAAGTTGAGGCAAATAATAGAATGGAAGATACTCATCTCAAAGGGGGGGAAAGCTTGTGGCTATGGTGGAGAGCAACCATTAAATCTGCCCATGTAATGCAAAAGGAGGAGGGGTGAAGGCGTGTGGATTTGATTATCAAGACTTAAAAACTTACCCTTCCTTTGGGAAGCATGCCCCGAACAGCGTGTTCAATAATCCTCTCAGGAATTCTCTGCTGCAGTTGGTCGAATGTCTCGACTTTCATACCACCGGGTCTTCCTGAATGCCTCCTGTAGAGCTTTTGGGTCCTCTTCTTTCCAGATACAGCAACCTTTTCAGCATTTACCTAGAGATACGCACGAGTAAATGGTAATGACACATCAAGTTCTCTTGCTTCTCACACAGTTATATTGAATGACAGGAACTGATCTGAAATCCTTGCAGCAGAATCCATAGCAAGTTTCAACTGTCACGGAGAAGTAAACATTCTCATCATACTGGCTGCTTCTCCTCTCATGGTAAAGGAAACAGCATGAACCTTATTTTTTCTAGCTTACCCTAAAGAGTGATAAAGTACCAGGTCAGAAACTTTATCGAGTGAACTTCAATTCGAAAAGTTCCAACATAAGAACTAATTGATTATCAAACTGGCAAAAGCAGTTGTTTTAGCATATTCATAGGGAGAATTTCGGGTATACCTAACCAAAGAGAATAGGGCTACACGAATTTGAATTAGCATCAGCAAGAAGGCAATATTATCTAAAGTCCAATGTTTTCAACTGCTTTTGTGGTCCAAATTGTGTAGTGTCGTAAGGACTGATTGATCGTAGATCAACCATATTAAACATGTGCCTAATCGGGAGAGGCGAACACATATCGGAACCGAGACAAGAAGGTACTAATTCGGCCATGGTGTGTACCTTGCAACGTTTACTTCTCAATAAGAAATGACTGGGACTTAAATTATCGGCTAGTCTACTTCGATCAGTGAATGCAATATACTGCAATGCATAACCGTATTCAAGTACATACCACAATCACAAAAGCCCCCATGTCCACACTGGGAGTGTACGTCACCAGATTCTTGCCACGGATGTGAACAGCGATGGTCGACGCGAGTCTACCGAGTATCTTATCCGTGGCGTCCACTATGTACCACGGCTTCTCCGTGTTCACATGGTCTCCAGCTTTAGGATACCACGTCTTATTCCAAATGTCCTACAAACAAACCGCAACACGCATGACATCGCAAAACCTCCAACATCGCTGACCTTCCCCATTAAAGAGCAACCAAACGGGGAAACTCCCATTGCCCAAAATCCCTCTCACACAAAGAATCAGAAGCCCACAAAATTTATTCCTACAATCCATTTACAACAGCAGCCAAACGGACGGGACAGGCGTACAATTAACACTAAGGGCACAAAGAACGCCGAGAGAGAGAGAGAGAGAGAGGTTTTACAGGTCCGTCGACCTCGGACTCCTCGAACATCCACCGCTGGTCGAGAGGGACGACGGAGAGGTCCTTCTGGCACCGGACGGCGAGGCTGCGCCTGCCGACCGTGGCGGCGACGGGCTTGGTGAGGGCGAACGAAGGTCCGGCGACGCTTCTCTTGGAAGAGAGAGGAGAGAGGGAGGGGTTGCATTTGGCGGACGCGAAGAATGCTGAAGAAGAAGAAGATGATGACGATGATGCGCAGAGGACCGCCATTTCTCTCTCGCTCGCTCAAGAGCAGTGAGCCAAAGGTCGCGTCCTGTTCTTCTGTCTATCTGTTCGATTTTTGATAAGTGGATAAGGAGTCCTCGGAGTTCATGGGCTGGGCCTATATGGCCTCTTTCATTCTTTCCACAAATTATTTAACTTTTTTTTACACTAACAAAAATGTAGTTTGCATGTTACATTCGATAAAATTAAGGTTAAACTGCTAGCAGCATTGACGTCTCGTGGATGGACAACAAGTTTACCGCCTGCCCACCATTTTTTTCCTATTAAATTAAAGTTAACTTTTCGTTTTGATGTACACCAAAACGTGCTTCTCTCAATTTTTTCAAATTTTTTTCCCCTCAAAACATGAAAAGGTCGAAAGGTCTCGGAGTTCTTGAAAACTAGTAAAAAGTTATGATTACGTGTGTTGTTTGTATAGTTTAAAAGATTTCGAGCATTTGACTTTGAATGAAAATGAAAGAGCCGCATGTGACCAAACGATGGCATGAAGTTCTAGATAAAGCAGGCTATTCGCGCTCTATTCTCTTAATCGTGAAAGATATTGTTTGGTGTTTTGGTTCCTGATAAATGGCTTCAAGATATGCATCCCCTTTCTCATCGATATGGATACCGAAACGTCATGTAGCAGAACTGTACAATGCTTGCACAGCATAAATCGCATTGGCAAACAAGAATGCCGTAATTACATCGACCTAACATTGAGACCGTCCTTCCCCCAGATGCCGTCCTCAGTCTGGCCTTAAGCACTCGGCAAGACGAATGTAATTGAATGCTGCTGCTGAATTTGAAGGGATCTAAATGTCCCCCATCCACAGTAGTGTAACCGTCGTCCAAATCTGGTATCTCCGCTTTGAGCATAAGGATCTCTCTATCTCTCTCTTCGTTTGCCCTTCCGCATGTGTAAATTGGCCTGATTTTATCGATGTTTGAGAGCTCGTACTGTTGACAATTATGCCGTCACAAATTTGGAACAATAACTTGCTGCATCAGAACGGCCAATATGCTGCCCATGGAGATATTAATGATATTGACAGCATCGTTGTTGAGCTGCATGAGGGAGCCAGAGAAATTGTGAGCAATATTAGGATGTAATGCAATGAAGCAGACCAGCTTTATCCATATCTGAGAGAAACTGCAGCTGGCAATTGACAACACAGATGGATCTCCGTAATTTGTCATCACTCACGGTGTATTAGTGATCATCTAGTAATAGGCACTTTTAAGTTTTGAACTCAGACAGGAAATAAATGTGATGGAATCAAAATGAGTCCTTACCCAACGGAATCCTTCCTTCTCTTGGAAGGCAGCCCCTATTATACTCTCGCCAAGATTAGCAATCTGTGAAGCTACGACACATATGACGGCTTCAGGTGCTTTTATCTGTCTCGACCCAACAAGAGAGAGAGAGAGAGAGAGAGAGAGAGAGAGAGAGAGAGAGAGAGTAAATAAATGACAGACAAAGAAAGGTCACACGTTAACTTGATGAATCCAAACAGAAGCACGAATCAAATTTAAACTTGGGTATGGACATGCAAGGAGATTAAATGCCAGATCATTAAAACTTGAAGCTAACATAGCCTAGTCAGTGTCCACAGCATTAGCAAGCACGGTAGAGCAAATAAGAAAGGCCCTATATAACGCACACATGATTAAGTAAAGGAATCAGAAAATAAGTCCAGGCAAAATGTTTCATAATAATGCCCGGATTGAGAAGACCAAAGTACCTGCCCCAGGAGAAAACTGGCTAAGGCCAGAAGAACTGATACCACAATCCCAGCAATTGTTCCCTCGAGACTTACAGCGCCTTCCGTTCCACGAGGAACAATCTTAAAGGTGGTCACTAAATAACTGATGAAGAAAAACCATTAATACATGATGAGGTACATATATGGTGCATGGTGAAAGCAAATAGTATCCAGGAACTAAACAGCAAAAGCATTCAAGCATGATATCCACTTTCACAACGACAACCACCAAGTTCGCCCAAAGTTAGCTGTCTGGTTACTAGAAAGAAATAACAGAAGTTTCCTCATATTACATAACTGACGGTTCCATTATGATAAAACTGATCAATTCCTAGGGAATCTATCTCCTTCCATCCCTCCCTCCCTCTCAATATGTGTGCACATGAACTTCTATGATTCTACATCTCATGCAACATGACCTAACTACACTGCCAAGCAAGTAGTTGTGCTCTCTAGACCAATAGATCTATTCATGTAATCACTAGTATCACTATCATTCTTCAGCCTCTTAGTAATAATTCGATGTATTCTGCAGCCATTACATCAATCTCAAGGCAAAATGACATGAGGAGTGTGAAGTACTAGTAAAAAACAGGAAGAATATTACGGGCAGCATGAAATCACAGAAGAAACAGGGGAGTTGAAAATGGAATCGATTTTGAAGAACATATCATGAGCTAATACAAAAGTGATGAGTTATCATCACAAACACAAGAATCAAGTATCAAACTTCAACTCAAGTGCAGGTGAGAAACATTACTCACGTCGTTTTTCCATAAGCCTTGCCGATCTCACTCGAAACTGTATCGCTCAACTTAGTACAGAAACTAGCGATAAACCCAAGTAACCAGAGATGCGAGAACGCCTTGCCTCCTATGCCAAATATAGAGAGGAAAGCACAGACACAACCTGCCGCACTGGAACCAATGACACTTCCGGGCCCTCTTCTTCCTTTCCTCTTCTCGGCAACCCCCTGAGCTTCCTTCTGTGCCATTTTCACCTTGGTCGCTGCTGTTCCCTAACGGATCCAGTTCAATTAACAACAGATAAAGACCTCAAATCTCAAATTCAGAACACAGCAATCGACTACACCGACCATGAGTGGCAGCTTAGAAGCGAGAGCAGCAGAGGAGGACCGTACACAGATAGAATGAGAAAACCCAATCACAATCAAAAGCAGACATGACTACCAATCGGAACATGCCAATAGCGATTACCGACCAGGAACATACTCAACAACGATCAGGACGCTGCAAATCAAAGTCCCTCACTAAATGGAGATAAAGGTCCGCGAAGCGCTAAAATGCGAAAGCTATAAGCAACGGAAATCAAATTCAGGATCTCGAGGGTTTCGAGCTTACGATGACGAAGTAGGCGGCGACGAGGAGAAACCCGGAGGGACCGAAGGCACGCCAGGTGAGAGTCCCCAGGAGGAAAGCCGCCCCGATGCCGTACGCGGAGAGGCCGGCGACGAGAATGGGAGAGCCGGCGACGAAGATCAGGAGGTTGCTGAAGACGGCGGACTTCCACGTGGGAGGGGCCGACTGGATCAGGGCCAGGGCCTCCGAGAGAGCTCCCTGCGCCGACATCGCGTCCGGCAGCGCCGCCACCGGTCGGGAGAGCCGAGGCTTGCGGCGGAGATGATTCGGGAGGAGGAGGAGGAGCGGCGGCGGCGGCGGTTTCTGGAGAGTCGGCGAGGGGAGGAGGAAGAAGCGAGAGGGAGGAATCGGAGGGGGTTTATAGTTGAGGAGGAGGAGAGTTGACAAAGAAGACATCTTTGGTCTTTTTGAGTGCCGGCGAAGTGAACTGGCGACGCGGATGGATACCGTCGAGTTCGACCCGGACATATGCGGGCGTGGGAAGGCTAAACAGAACAGGACAAGACAGGACAGATCTTTTTGTTTTGGGGCATCGGACCTACAGTCATAACGGAATCTTTGGTCCGATGGTCCGGACGTGAGCTTTCGTAGATCGTCGGATTTCGTGTGTTTTCGTAGTCGCGGAAGTGTCGTCGACTGGTCTAGCTAAAAGAATCGAGACCGGTCATATCTTTATCCATGAGGACAGACAGGTGGGCAGGCAAACCAAAGCAGCAAAAGAGCCTTCACGTAGGAGGAGTGAAAGTTTCACCGTCATATTGTTACCGTCGCCCAACTCATTGTTTTGCAATCCAACGGATTCCGCCACCATACATCCGTAACTTTATGTATTAACCGAAGGGGATCATCCACTTATCATGGCAGTCCTCTGTACCCGGAATGACGAAAATACTATTATTGAAATTGAATTTACTTTGTCCAGCATACAACCTGTGAATCATTTACCATACAGCAAACTCGAACTAACGCCTATCAACGAGTTCTTGCCTGAATTTTCACTTCGGCTTTCTCGATCCGTCATCCCATCTTGAGATATCTACTTAGACAGGCCAGGCCTACTACAGAACTTGGGAAGCTTTAAACTGTTAGCGATAAGACAGAACGAGACCACTGAAATACGTTAAGAAGGCACACCACAAAAGGAAATCCCACTCTCTCCCCCCCTCTTTACACGACCAGATTGTGCTAAACCAATGGTCTAAGATTGTCTTCGACGTTTTAAGCTGCGATCATTTCTTTGACACAGGAAGTCGTTCTCTGGTGTGGAAGATATATCGGGAACATAAGCAGCAGCATCGAGTTGACGCCGAGCACTCTTTGGCCAGTATAAACCTGAAGCTGTAGGAGGTGAAGACATCTGAGGCACAGCCCAATAAGTATCTGGAACCTGGCCCAAGCATTCGTCACCTGTTTCTTCGGAACTTCTCATGATTGAGGAGCAATCAGAGTCTCCGAGCTTGCCGCTGTCAGCCTGGAAGACCTCGGAAAAACAACAAAAAATTACAGACTGCGTTAGCCATTATTTATGAGCACACTGACACAGAGTTGCTATAGTATTGTTAGTTACAGATAACTCTACCCCTGCATGACTCAGATGTGAAAAAATTGGAGTACATCAATACTCAAGACCAAAGAGCACCCGATTCTTTCTTCCTTCCTTTTTTCCTTTTTTCTATTAAAAGGTAGACATGGGGTCAGATTTTAGGAATGGAACACTGGACCCTATTGATGTCGGTCCTGGCTGGACCACCGCTAAAACAATCTCTTACCTCTCAACCACTCAATTCAGATTATTTCTAGGAAAACTGCTCAATCACATTTCAAAGCAACAGGCAGTTTTCCAAACACCTACAGACCCACATGTAGAACTTCCGATGGAATAAGAGGCTTGACCTGCAATTTTGACTCGGTCTGACATGAACCAAATTTCAAAAATGATTAATAAATTGAAAACGACACAAACTGTAGCAGGAGACATTGTGCACAACAACAATTCAAATCCAAAGCTCCTTGACCTGCAATTTTGACTCGGTCTTACATGAACCAAATTTCAAAAATGATAGAAAAATTGAAAATGACACAAACTGTAGCAGGAGACATCATACGAAAATGATGAGCTGCCAAAAAATTCCACCTTCTTGCAAGACTAGCAGCATCTTTTGCTCGTGTCACATGAAGGTAAGAACATGGATCAAACAAGAAAGTGAATGACCCACCCAATGGAGGACCGAGAATTGAGGTTCTGCCATCTATCCCACCAGAAGCACAACCCACCCACAACAGATGGAACACATCAAAACAATGGCATTGATTGTGGAGAATTGACAAAATCACCTGAACAGTGACAGGAAACACGAAAAACAATTGGCCTAACACATACCTTAGACGAGCCATTGCCCATGTAGCTGAAACTTTGATTAAAGTCGCTGAATCCAAGAAGTTCATCTAAATGCCACTGTGGCATGCTTGCAGCTGCAGAACCCCCAGAAAATGGAAACTTAGTGGTTATCAAGCTTCCAACGCCATCAGTGTGTACAGGTTGGATATTGTTATACTCATTGTGTGATGGCAATTGGGTGCCTCCGTTTGACAAAGAAGAAGATTTTGATTTTTCAGAGATCTTTTCCCCAGGCTGTGAATTTATCGATGAAGAGGAGGGATGAGGCTCGGTAGATTCAAGACCCACTTTCACTCCAGTAAGAAGAAACCTTTGGTGAGCAGACACATATGTATTCGCTGTGTGTATGGCTATATCACATTTCCTACAGAGTAATGCTCGATCCTCTAGACAGAAGAAAAATCCAGCTGTCTCCTGTCAAGGGAATGCGCATTGCATCAATTATATTTGACAAAGAAAATGCACCCTTTTTCGTTTGAAAGACATCCGAGAAGTGAAAATTGTAAATCCAGCCGAAGTGGTGGCAATGCCATCTTCAAAATGTATGGAAATTACATCAACTTTCCCCACAGGTTGCGTAAAACCTCTCTTCTTTCAACATATAGAGAGAGGATTACATTTTCTTTAAAATCCAAGCAAAGGCAGTCAGATGAAATACTATTTGGCAATCAGAGACTTACTCAATGGATGAGAACTGATCATTCATCAAATAAATAAGACAAATGGAAATCCTCTGCTCATTTCAGCTGGATCACTAATCACATGATAGGCTCTTCCTTATAAGGAGAGTAGACAAAAAGCTTATACAACCGAACATTTCAGCTGAGCTGAAACTACATCTCTTGATCTGCGAATGGCAATGTTTTCTGGATTTGCGTATGGTACACAGCCTGGGTAACAAATACTATTTGTTACGCAGGCAGCCTCCGTCACCTCGACATAGGTAGTCATAATTTGAAAATCTGACCAACTATCCCAATCAATGGTGATGGGTGTCAATCGTTTAAGAATAGATTACAAGCCGCATTATTTACAAAGAATATACTTTTAACAAACGATGGTAACTTTTCAAATGTGTTATTAATTTCAAGTTAACAGATTTCATTTTTTTTTCTTTTAAATTTCTAAGCAAATTAGCGAATTAAGGATTTCCAGTCTACTCCTACCACCAGTCAGATACGAAACAATCTATAACCAATCGATCCAGAGGCAAGAAATATCTTTCGGGAGCTCTTCATCGGAAAAAAAAAGAAAAAGAAAAGACAGGACAACACAACTTCTAATATTTTGTCACCTGCCCTTCTAAAATCCTCAAAGTGCACAGACCAGGCAGACGCCAACAAAGACTAACGCAAGAACACAAGAAATCACTCATCGCCGGCGATTCGCCGACGAAACGGAAAACAAAAAAAAAAAGACACAAAACCGATTCATCCCCAACTAACCCAGCACCGCCGGAAAGCAAACGCGAGGCTCGAGAGGGCGGGCCACGCGGAAGGAAACGAACACGGGGAATCGGGGCGAAAGAACACACACGGAGAAGAAGAGGACCCGACCCGCAGCCGTACGTTACCTGACAGATATCGCACTTGGGCATCTGAGAAGCGGAGGTGGAGAGCGGGACGCGCTGGTGCTTGCTGGCGAGCTTGTTGGCGGCGTGCACCTTCTCGTCGCAGGCCCAGCACAGGGCCGCCTCGTCGGCGCAGCACAGGACGCTCGCCTCCGCGGCCTCGCACACGTTGCACTGTATCTTCATATCCACACAATCAATCACAACGCCCCCCAGGCACACATACACACGCAGCGACCGGAATCCCCCAGAACTTGATCTCGCCCCACGACCGCCGGCGCCTCCTCCGGTCCACCCCTCCAGCTCAACCAGAGCGGATTGTTCTAGAGAGAGAGAGAGAGAGAGCGGGGGGGCCGAAGAAATCTAGGGATTTGAACTGCGATTTTTCTCTGCGCTCGCTATTTTGAGGGGAGAGATATTTGTCGAGTCGCAAGGAATTTAATGCGCGTCGAAGGGGGAGGAGGAGGAGGAGGAAGATGTGGAGAGGGTTTAAGTCGAGCGTGGGGGAGAGACCGCAAGGGGGGATAAGGGCGTGAGGAAAGTGGGATTCCCATTCTTTTTGCTGGTTCCTTTTAGAGGGAGAATTATTATTTTATTAATTTTTAAAAAAGGGAAGTGTGGGGGCGGGGGGGCGGAATGAATATTAAAATAAAAAAATTGGGGGAAAATGGAGGATATTTTTTGTGAGGCCGTGTGGGAGGCGGAGATGGGGACACGTGGGCGGGGTTTGAAAGTCAGCGTGTCCTGTTCCTGGCACAGGAGACCGCATTCGCTGTATCGGCGGGGAGGCCGAAAAGATACCACCACTTAGGGGGTGTTTGGTTCAGCTTTGGAGAGGGGTTTTGAGCCTCGAAAGCCCTTCTCAAAATGCTAGGGTGTTTGGTTCAGCTTTCATGCTAGCATTTGGCCAATGCTAGCATTTCAAATGTTGAAGCCCAAGTGGTTCTGGCCCGACCAAATTTCGAGCTTTCAAAGATTTCACGAATGTTACTGTTCACGTCTCTTTTATTTTTTTTTAAAGCTGTTCATCTTCTTCACCATGCAGCCGGCGAGGTCGCTTGGGATCGGGCGACCGCCCAGGCGACGGCCGCCTGAGGTCGCGCGACCCCCGCCGAGGGTCACCTAGCCTCAGGCGAGCGCCGGCGGCGGCAGATCTGGCTTGCCGGGGGTCGCCCGACCTCAGGCGACGGCCGCCGGCGCCAGATCTATCTCGCCGGCGACCGGCTCCGGCGATGGGTAGGTTAGTTTTTTTTTTAATAAATAAGATAATTCTCAAAGTCCATTTGCAAAAAAAATTCACCAAACACTATATTTTGCCCAAAGTAGCTTTACAAAATATTTTTACCAAATACCATTTGTATTTCCCCAATGGGCTTTCATCCAAAGGTATTTGCATTCCCCCAAATAGCATTTTCAAAGTTGAACCAAACAAGCCCTTAGTAGGCTCTCTCTCGGGGATCCATCCCCATCGTTTGGATCACGCTTATTATCAGTGTCCCTAACGTGCTGGTCCAAAGGCTTAATCTCCACCCGTTTTATATTATCAGCAAAAGGATCCTAAATTGTGCGGGGGTAGTGCTCCGTGACGAACTTTTCAATTTGATCAATGTAATCATTTTTCATCAATTTCTGGACAAAATCGCTGACGTGAACATTGGTTATCGTACATACCGGCGCTGATATGGATAAATTAAAAGAAAAATTCATAAAAATATTACAAAAATTATCTATATCAACGTCAACAATGGCACGTAAGATGGCCGGCGTTCATGTCAGCAATTTTCCAGTCAATTTCATTGGTAAATTGTTAAAAGATTTAGGACTAAGTTGATTTAATTAAAAAAAATTTAGGACTGAATTGACATTTGTACCGTAGCTTTACGACTTCCTTTTGATAATTATTCATGTGTTTCGCTAATGATCTGCCGGTGTTCTTCAAAGGTGACAAGATTCCACGGCAAACCCATTTGGAGGCATTTCAAGAAATTTCACCGCTAGCCAAGGTCGACACCTAATCCTGATAAAGACTCGAGTTGTTTCTAGCTGAGTTGTTTCTAGCTGGCATCTGAGGACTCTTTTTAGTCATGGTTTTCTGTCAACTTAGCGAGAGGGAACTTTTACCTTGTTGGGTAACATTAACTGCTGGAATGAATGATTGGGTACCTAAGCACTCGGGAGTTATATGCTGGTACGTCGCAGCTTGTTCAATCTTCTGTGGTCCATAGCGATGCCAATTGCTGGTGTCAGATATTCACATCGCCGAAAAGAAACACGCCTGCAAGAGGGCCTTTTCGAGCGTACCCACAACAGAGCAGACATCAAGTGGTCTGCATTCGTGAAAATAATGAGTTTCGCGATGCGCTGGGGCTCTCTGTGTCATGCGTCGGAAAGGCGCAACTACACAAATAAACCTGGAGTCAGGTGGAAGCGGTAGTGGGAAGAAAACAGAATCCCACTTTCCTCCTGCAGATGCTAGAATGCAGCTTGATTTTCAGATGGAGCAGTGGGAAGAAAATAGCTACCTGGAGTCAGGTGGAAGGGGCTTGGGGTGGAAGGGGCTTGGGCCTTAATATAGTTACCAATTGCTTCTGGAGTCTCAAAGTTCCCAACTACAGTTGCAGAAACTCAAACTAAGTTGCATTTAATTCCCATCCCAATCCCATTGCTGGACATAAATGGTAAGGCAGATGAAGCATCAAGGCAAATGGCCGCCGGGCAACACCATTCAATTTAAACATATGCTTATCCAGGTCAGAAAGACCATCCATTGCCATCGCAACAACAGATAGTCTGAAAAGTTACGAACCCAAAGTTTGCCGACCGTTTCTGAATGCTTCGAATATGCACTAGAAAACCATGATAACCACATAAACTACTCCACCAACGTAAGATCATAATGCACATTAGGAACTGTAATTAATAATCAACTTCACAAGATTGTCAAATTCGTTAGTTCTAGCTTTTGTCAACGACACATTTTGATAAGCGGCCCACCGCCAGGAAGGCATCCGCTACCCATTCATCGCTCTTCAAGCAGCAAATGACTTGGGAGCATAGCTAGACAGGTTCAACAGACATCAGCCTATTTACATGCTATTTAAATGTTATTTACATGCAAGACACTTTCGGTGTCTCTGCGTCAGAAGTACGCCTAATCGGGAGTACTTGCTTTTCTAATAAACGAGGAGGCAAGTAGACTTTTAGAACCGGGGCCTCGGAAGATATTTCAAGTGTGTCCTCGTCCTTGACTGTGCAACACACATTACAGCCATCGATATATATCGCACCTTCTTTGCAAAACCATGCAACTTCCGTCTTCTGGTCAGGATTGAGAAATCCATGCATCAGATTAGAAGCCACTCTGGGTGAAATAGGCTCCCTTACCATATACTGAAGGTCCTGAGATAAAATGGGCATTTGGTATCCACCAGCTGAGAGCATTGCAGCCGTTGATCCAGCAGCAGTCGAGACTCTGAGACCACTTGATCGGTAGTTCACCGCAGGGGAACATGACTGGCCATTGCTTTTGATTCTGTAAACAAGTAGGTGACATTCAGGTAGCCCACAAGACCAACCAAAATGAGAGTAATATAACAAACACACTGCATCGAACTGCTGACCTGAATGAAAATCGCGAGACCGCCGCCGGGCATGGATGTGCAATTAGTACATCATTGAGAGCACATGTTGACAGTGGTGCTGAGTTCACACAGATTGATATCCTTGATAGTTCAGATGGTAGTAATTGACCCTCGAGAATGTCATCTAGTATCTGGAAGAGATTCTCCAATCATTAAGACTCATGTCACCGTCAAACTGGAGATTCTGCTGAGGGACATGGAGATTGTCGACTTTTGTTGGAGATACAAAACAGTGGAGTGACCGGATTCTACCATATTAAATATGACTTTCAAACTTGTATATTATATCGGCATCAGCATCATTGCAACTGAGATTAATAGTGATCTACCTACCTAAGAAAGCCAGCTGAGCAAGAAATCTGAAATCTTAAACCTAAGACGGGCAGAACCAAGCTAGGGACTTAAGCATTGCCAATGCCAGATACATAAACCATATTGTGTTTGTAATGTGAAGGACAATACATCAAAAGCCCTCCCTTCATACCAGAAAATCCAGTACTCTAGCACATATTATCTCATTAACACAAAAGTTGGCATAAGATTGTGTCATGGTGCAACTGAACTAGTAGTTTCCACTCGATTACAGAAGATGGAACAGTAAATTGGTCTACAAATCCCTAACTTTTGGATAGACAAATAAGGAAACCTTACTTTCTCAAAATTATCGACAGTTGCTGCACAGAGGTAGCCAGTGCTTCTCGTTGCATCATATTGATTACCAAACTCCTCAACCTACAGCAGAGCAACATCGTAGCTTGTGGGGCCTTCATTTCTTGCCATGTAAAGACTTGCCAAACCACAAACAACGCAAGTAAATCAAACAAACCGAGTACCACGGCGACTCGCGTGGGATCGGAGTTCACGCCGAGAAGTGGAATCGAGTCATCTACGAAATGACTGGCGTGCAACAGAGTCCCATCGCCGCCGACAGTGACGACCATGTCCACGTTCCGTATCGGCTGGGACACATTGTCGCGTAAGATGGGCTCCCAGTCAACCAGCTTCCGCCGCAACACGTTCTGGCAGAACCCTACGGCCTCGCGGTGCACCTTACTCCTGCTCTCCAAATGATGCAGAATCTAAAAAAGAAAAATTATCGGGGAAACCACGTCATACAACGGCCGAGACAAACATTGCACGAAGATTGCCCACAATGTTCTTGATCCCTCAACGTCAAATACCATAGTCCATGTCAATGTTAACCTAGGGAAAAATCAGCCAACGCCGGCTAAACCCAGAATCGCGCTTGCTCGCTCGTGCTAAGCGAAGTTCACGAGCACGAAGAAACAAGATCGATGGATCGATCGATCGATTCCGCACGCATTTCGATCGGGGATTTCGTCAAACAGGTGGAGAGCAAGAAAGGCGAGTGGAAAGAGGACCTGGGGGTTGGCGATGCGAGAGAGGCCGTGGGACTGGGCGGCGACGGCGTAGTCATCCAAGGGCTTCAACAGCAACAGCAGCTTCCTGCTCGCCATCTTCTCCTTCTTCTTCTCCTTCTCCTTCTTCAGTCGACACCGTCGCGAGCATTGGCGTGGCGGCTCGAGCACGATTTGCTTTGAATCGTTTCCCCGTCTTCCCCCTTCCTCTTCGGCTTCTCCGAGATGGCTCTGTCGTTCCTCCGGTCTTCGTTCCACGAACCCAGGCCCAATGGGCCCACCCCTATTTTACCCGGAGAAAAGAATAAAAAATTTATGAGAAAATAATATTTAATTTTTCGAGTATTGACCCTACGTATTACAAAAAAATTAGTTGTTGCATAGGAAATTGCAATATTATCTCATTCAAAATTCAAAATGTTAAACAGTGCCTTGAGAAATGCTTTTTCAATAGAAATTTTTAAATGATTGATTATACCAACACTAGCTAGATCGATATGTAAGTCATTCATTGTGCAAAAGTCACTATTCATAGATATATTGAAAGTCGTTTTTCCATATTATCAAAAATAGTTTATCTGCTTTTACCATGAACAAAATTAATTACGAATGAGTCTTGCTATTGCTAATTTGCGTCTTTGGAATACTTGCTAACCATACCTATTGAGTAATTATTTTCATTTTTTAACACGCCGATTACACCTAACTAGAAAGGTTATTTTATTTTATTTTTTTGGAAATGAAAAAATTTCCTTATTACGATGTTTAATATGTGTACAAGGGATCACTTGCTAGTGACCGAAATGTTCAAATTTATTTTTTTACTTAAGAAGTTAACTAAGCAGACAAAAGAATTTAGTAAACTCACACAAAGAACTGCATTTCCACATCCATCAAATCTAATTTCCTTTTGATCTCTATACCCATAATGTATAATTATATAATCTGCCAGAAATTTCTTTTAGTATTTCCCCTTATAACAAAAAAAAATTCATATATATATTAAGCATTTGTGATTTTCTTAAAAACCATGGCCAATCGCAAATTGCCAATTGTCAATTGCCAAATGGTAAGGGGTCCGGACACAGGACTAAAGGTCCGGCAATCCACCGTCGGACCCGAACTACGGCGGGTTCGATATGACCACTTCCCGACCCACCATGGTTCGGATCCGGGTCGCTCCACCCACTTTCTTTCTCCCCGTTTTCTCCGGATCTTATAAACCCGAGATCTCGGGTTGACCCGCCGAACACCACCCAAATCCCCATCTCATCAGCGCCCGACTCGGATCTCGCCCCAACCCAAACCCATCGTTCGGAGGAGAGTCCATTTTCGCGACCCCGTAACCCTAATCCAAACCGGATCCTCCGATCGGACTCCGGACCAGCGCGACCAACTGCCGCCCCGGTTCTCGCCGGTAAGAACTGCCCGCCCCTCTCCCTCCCTCCTCGAGTTTCCCGATCCCGCCGATCATGGCATTCCCGTCTTACGTTCCCGATTACGGGCGTTTGGTCGTGTTTTCTCCGATATCTGTCTCGACCCGGGTTTTTTTGTTCACCTTACCTCGGAGAACCTGTTGAAATGTTGATTGAGGTTCGGAATTGTGTTGTGGGTGATCGAGTGCTTCGTGCAGTGACTGGTGTTGTGTAGTGGAAGATTTTTGGAACGAATCATTTGCTGGCGTTGCTTTTATCTGGGATTTTTGCCAACCCGTGTGCTGAATTGTGGTCATTTTAGGACATGGGGTTGAAATGGTGCATGGCTTGCATGGTGTAGTTTTGGCTGGTTGTGTGTCTCTCGACGAGTCGATTATTCCGTTCGCGCAATGTATCGGGACGATTAGCGCACGTATCGATGTGTTTCCGCCGTCTCTCGAGTAACGTCGAACGCATGCAATTGGGTTTTGTTCCCTGTTTAGAGTGCTTTCTGCATTGGTGTGGATTTAGGTTTTTGGGTCTCTACCAATCAGTATCTCTCTTTTTCCGTCTGCTCATCGTCCTTCTACTCCCGTTATGTATACGCGGTCCCATGTGCTATTACAAGAGTTCTTGCATCAACCTTTAGAAAGGAATTGTTGTGGTGTCCTGTGGAAAGGTTGCGTTAATGTGTTTAGAGAGTTGCATGTTGTGCTTTTTGTGTTAATTTTGATGTTGGGCTTGTCCAGGAGGTGATAAAAACCTGTGGATAGGAATTATAGGAGAGAGATTTTTCTTGCTGCAAAACGGATGGATGCATCACTCATATGGTTTTCATCTGTGTAGCTTTTGGTTCATCTTGACCTGATGCTATGGACATATCAAACGATTCAGCCATTAAGAAACCGAAAAGGTTGACATCCGTTGTTTGGAATCATTTTGAACGTGTCCGAAAGTCAGATATATGTCATGCTGTATGTCTACACTGTAACAAGAAACTCAGCGGATCAAGTAATAGCGGAACAACACATTTGAGGAATCACTTGATGCGATGCTTGAAACGATCTAACTACGACGTGTCTCAGCTGCTTTCAGCAAAAAAAAGGAAAAAGGAAAGCACGCTTGCCCTTGCTGGCATTAGCTACGACGAGGGACAGAGAAAAGAAGATTATGCTAAGCCATTGGCTATAAAGTATGATCATGAGGTGAAGCGTGATGAAATCATTAGTCCTGGAAGCAGTAAGTTTGATCAAGATCGCAGTAGGCTTGATCTTGCCCGTATGATCATTTTGCATGGTTACCCTTTGGCCATGGTTGACCACGTTGGATTTAAAGTATTTGTCAAGAACCTTCAGCCACTTTTTGATGTAACATCTGATGGTGCTGTTGAGGATTCCTGCATGGAAATCTACGGAAAAGAGAAGGAGAAAGTGCGTTTAGCATTAAATAATCTGCAAGGAAGAATCAATGTCAATATTGAAAAGTGGTTCTCAATAGAAAATGCTGAACATTTGTCTTTGACGGCAAATTACATTGACGAGAAGTGGAGACTGAAGAGGAAGATTCTTAATTTTGTCACACTTGATTCTTCTCACACGGAAGATATGCTTTCAGAAGTAATCATCAATTGCCTAACGGAATGGAATGTTGACTGCAAGTTGTTTGCTGTGACATTTGATGATTGTTCCGCCGACGAGGGTATTGTCTTGAAAATTAAAGAGCAGATCTCTCAGAACAAGCCTCACTTGAGTGCTGGTCAATTATTGGATGTTCGTTCAGCTGCACATGTTGTGACTGACATCGTGCGAGATGCAATTGAAGCACTGCGAGAGGTGACACACAAGATTCGTGGAAGCGTGAGATATATTAAGAGTTCAAAGGTAAATCTGGAGAAGCTCAATGATTTTGCTCAACAAGTTGGAATTAATAGCCCAAAGAGCTTGGCACTTGATTGCCCAGTTCAATGGAACTCAACATATCTCATGGTTGAAGCAGCATTAGAGTATAGGGGTGCATTTTCTCTCTTGAAAGAGCATGACCCCTTGTACACATCTGCTTTAAGCGATGCAGAATGGGAATGGGCAAAGACCGTTTGTGGATATTTGAAAGTTTTGTATGACATTGCGAATGTCCTTTCAAGCAACAAATGTCAAACTGCGAATGTCTACTTCCCAGAGATTTGCCATGTATACATCCAGTTGATTGAATGGTGCAAGAACCCTGATGACTTCATTAGTATCATGGTGCAGAAGATGAGAACTAAGTTTGACAAATACTGGAACAAATGTAGTTTGTCTTTGGCTGCTGCAGTCATTTTAGATCCGCGATTCAAGATGAAGTTGGTCGAGTATTACTACTCTCAGATATATGGCAGTACAGCTCTGGATAGAATAAAAGAGATATCTGATGGGATTAAACAATTGTTCAATGCATATTCTATCTGCTCCTCATTGGTTGATCAAGGTTCGGCTTTACCTGGCAGCAGCTTGCCTAGTACGTGCGGTGACTCTAGAGATAGACTGAAGGGCTTTGACAAGTTCCTTAACGAGACATCTCAGAGTCAAAGTGCGGTATCTGACTTGGACAAGTACTTAGAAGAACCAGTCTTTCCTCGAAATTGTGATTTTAACATCTTAAATTGGTGGAAGGTTCACACTCCTCGCTACCCTATACTGTCCATGATGGCACGAGATGTTTTAGGCACCCCCATGTCGACTGTCGCTCCAGAATCAACATTTACTAGTGGGGCCAGAATGCTCGATCAAGTTCAAAGTTCACTTGACCCAGATATCCGACAAGCATTGATTTGCACGAGAGATTGGTTGCAGATGGAATCAGAAGGTTTGCTCATTGCTAACGTGGTTTCATACCTGCGCAAGTTCTTTGTTTCTCGTTCATGCATGCCCATTTCAATGTTTTGCATTTTCTTCATGTCAGAGCTCAAGTCATCCACAACCCAGGCTATAGCCCTTTATGTTGAAGCAAGTTAGTTTGTTAAAGGTATGTCCATGTACCTTGCAATTTTGACCTGTCCTTTGGTGCTTATGTTCACCTACAATTTGCATATTGATCGACTTGTATGATATTTCTGACTTGTTTTGCAGTCTCGATGGATCTCATCACCTCATCTGATTTGTTTGTCCTGACCTGATGGGTGTAACCATTGCTGTCAAGTCAGAGAAAACCTTATTCTCTCTTCTCCATGTCCATAGCGTATAGTTAAAGCCTTGAGTTTTTTGTTGCATTTCCTTGTCCATATAGTCAAGTGTATATTTTCAGTTAACACTCATTGCTATGCAGTCTCTAGGAATCCTTGAAGAATCTTTGATTCATGAAAGAAAGAACGCCTTCTTGATCCTTAGAAGTTAGCTATGCTAAGATCTAGCAGTTCGATGTTTAGATTCTAACAAGATGTCTGAAGCTTTTGATCATGTTAAGTTGGAGACTTTCTCTGGATTATCCCGCAGTAGAAGGATGAGAAATTGGTCAATTTATATAAAAGGATGAGAGATTCACTGCCTTTTGTCATATCTGTGAATAAGAATATCCCCTTTCATCTTCATTTTATTGGGTTCCAACAACTATAAGATGAGCTACGACAGGCTTTTCGTTCATCGACCACGTACTCCCAGAAATTTGCCATCGAGTTGCTAAGTTTCATCTGACAGGTCAATGCCTCCTTTTAAATGCTGGGCTGGTTAGATCCTACATTGCATTGTGGCGGTTAATCTGATCATCGATGCGCAATGAGGCGAGATATGATGGATTGTTCAGCATCTCATACCATCTTCATCTTATCTCTCTCAAGGGAACAGAAAAATAATTATACTCAATTATTTTGTAGTTGAATAAAAGCAATGAGGGATACATGGAACTGGAGATGGAGCTTCTTTCTGTTTGCATTTTCAACAGTTGATCACCATTTACTTTCCTACTAAAAATTGCGGTTAGAGACTGTTTGGAGAAAATTGATACAAAACGGTGGTTAAGACAAAAAATGTCCCTCCCATTCTTAGTATTGCCCTAAGTACACGTGGAGTGATTGTTAATAATTCCTAGACAAGTAGGATGACACGTAGGATGAACACGCAGGATGAACACATAAAAAATGGTTACATCTTTATTAATATAATGGCATCTCCGTAGTTAGCTTCTACCACCATCACATGGGGTGAGCTAGAATTGAAAAAAACAGAGAAAGAAGTCCCTAACTGGTTCAACTTCGGTTTCTCTGACAGGAGAAGGACCTGATGCTGGTAATTGCGAACAAACAATAACTCTAAAGAAAGCTAAAGAAGTGTAAGAGACCATCTCGTGTAATTTAAGCACGAACCAATCCGGATACCTAACTCTGACAGCCAGTTACTTCGTGATGCTTTTCTTGTTCGGCTCGAATACGTACTTGATGAGCGAGTCCTTGATTGATAGCAAGTCGGGGAACTCGTTCTTCAATTTGGTCGCATCCATCTCGTTGTTGCTCCGTGGGGCGACGATCACCTGCGCTTGCTCTTCCAAAGTAAAGTTAACCCACTGGAATTTGGGGTCAATATAGCTCTTGTACATCTCCAGGATCTCATTGTGGCTCACAACTCCGGGGTTCGTAAAGTTCCATATACCCCTCAGGTTCCGCTTCGCCATCTCTATGGAAATCGGCAGGAGTTCGTCCAAGACGGTCATACTGTTGGGAATGTTAACCACCTTGCTATAACGAGAGATTTTGGTGATGAAATTGCGTGGGTTGTCTAGGTCCGATGAGATAGGCATACGGACTCTGAGAGTACAGACATTGTCATACTCCTTCAAAAGCTCTTCCACCTGATTAAGAAGAAAAGGCGAAACAAATTATTAGCTTCCCAACAGCATTTGCCAAATCTGAAAAGAAATTCCAAGTATAACTTACCATGGCCTTGGTTTTGGAGTAAAAGGAACCAATGAAATTTGGCTTGTCCACTTCCTTAAAGCCAATGCCAGAGCCCTCTGGATGGGAAGCATTGTACTCAAATATACAGCCAGTGGCGAAGTTCATCATAAGGAGTCCACGTTCCCGACAGACATCGGCTAATGTTAGCGTTCCAGCAACGTTTGCGCGGATTGTTTCGGTTTTGTGGGATTCACACCAGTCCACATTGGGTCTACCAGTCACACCAGCAGCGTTAAAAACATGTGTCGGTTTAACATTCGCAATGTCTGCCAAGAGCTGTGACCGGTCCTCGAGACGCCCTCTTCCATACTCAAATGGAATCCCCTGCATCTGGCACAGCTTTCCGAGTAAGCCCCCAATCCATCCGGTTCTACCATATATCAGGAACTTGAACGACGGTTTCTCGCCTGAAACTGCCATATTGGTCTGATCAGAATTAGATGGAAGAGGTGATGTTTTGCCTTCTTCAAGCCCATCATAATGCCTCTCAACCCCACCAGCCATCATCAACATTCTTGGATGAGGAAGCAGAGCGCCAGACACATCTCCCCACCAGTCAGGATTCTTGACGTACCATTCCATTGTCCTCTTCAGCCCTTCTTCCCAACTAGTCCGTTCGGACCAACCCAAATTCTTCAGCTTCTGATCATCCAAGAAGTACCTCTGATCATTGAATGGTCTATTTTCCACGAACTGGATGCAGGTCTCCGGGTCCATGGAGAAAAGCTTGCATATGTCTTTCGCCACGTCAATCACCCTCCTCTCCTTCTTTGTCCCGATATTGTAGACATGACCCACCTCCCCTTTGTGTAGGATTACCTCAAAAGCCTCGGCAACATCTTCGCAGTAGAGGTAACTCCTCACATTACAACCATCTCCATGAATTGGAAGAGGCTTTCCTCCCATCGCCAAAAGGATAAACTTCGGGATTAATTTTTCAGGGAACTGATTTGGACCGTAGACGTTGTTCCCTCGGGTTGTTATCACCGGTAGCCCATAGGACCTGCCATATGCCATGACAAGCATTTCTGCTCCGGCTTTCGTGGCAGAGTAGGGGTTCGTAGGGAGAAGTTGAGAGGCCTCATGGTTTCCTACGACGGCATCCTCATCTGTCTCTCCATAAACTTCGTCGGTGCTAACATGGATGAACCTCCTAATCTGGCCAGTCACCTTACATGCTTCTAACAGGACATGAGTGCCATAAATGTTGTTCTTGGTAAACTCAAAGCTGTTGCCGAAAGAATTGTCGACATGGGTCTGGGCGGCGAAGTGCATTATCGTGTCAATGGATTCTGTAATGAGAAGATGGTTGACAAGGTCCGCGCTGGCAATGTCTCCCTTCACAAACTTGAAATTGGCAGCGGATTTAGACGGGAGGAGGTTTTTCAGGTTCGAGCAGTAATCGAGCTTGTCAAGCACGACAATCTTGTACTCCTTAAAGTTGCGAGTGAGACGGTTGGTGACATGGCATGCTATGAAACCGGCAGCCCCGGTAATGAGAATGTTTTTGGGGGTATAACTCGTCATCTCGATAGAGATTCTGCTGGGAATGAACGAGAAAACAAACACGGAACCGAAAGTCTGATCAGTAACATATACAGAAACAATAAACAAGCTATCAGACGCGCCAAAAGTAAGAACCCAATACATTGATCACACAATTTACGCAGGTCAATGTGTTTACGACAATTATATCAGCAGCAACACAAGAAAAGTTGCACTGTTTATTGGCCTTCAAGAACGAATATGCCCTCAATTCATTCTACTACAAACATAAAGACACTCGAGAGAAAACCGAGAGACGAATGCCAGCACGAGCGCGCACTCTTTCCGATCAGTTGCCTGACGCCTACATTCGCAACAGATCCACGCACGACGAGCGCGGATTTCAAGAAACCCAGAACTTGCAAAGCGACGAACAGAGCGGAACAACACTAATAATCACCACAGAATCACCAAACCACGACGAACCCGACATTTTTCTGATCAAACCAAACAAGAACAAACGAATCAAACGGCAAAACAAACATCAACGCCACACCAACCGGATTCGCGGCGAAATGGGGTTGACCGAAGATCAATGCCTGATCAATGCAGGAGGATGTATGTAGGACGACCGCGAAGACTCAGGGCGTTTTTTCGCAAAAACGAGGAGCGGAGAAATCATTGAATTTCGGAGAGGGAAAACAGGGGAACTCGGCGTGTGTAATTTTATATATATATACCGCCCTCGTTTGAGGACGACCATCATGGTACGAGAGACCTTTACGGAAAGCCGTCGGCCGAGCCGAAATGACGGATTCGCCCTTCGGACTGCTGGCGAATTTGGAGCGTGCGGTGAAGGAATCTCGCCGGAAAATCGCGGCCCTGCAATCTCGAACCGACAATGTTAGTATTGGGTAAGGATCGAGAGGAATCGGACCCGGACCTTTTCCTTTCATCGAATTGCGATAACGCGAGAATGTCCCTCTCGACGAATTTCTACTGCCTGCTGATGACACGAAAATTGGGACTCGATGATTGCAAGTCATGCATCGATTCCGATGCGAAGGCTCGCCCCCACATTGGAGCTCTTGCATTGCCAATGAATCAAGGCAACATAGCCAGGATGACATCGGGGACAATGCCAGTCTCTTCCATATCGACCAGGACTCGCTGCGCATCTTCCAACTTCATTTCGACGGAAAAACCGCGGAGGAGCGCGGTATAGGCGTAGTCACCGGGAGAGATCCCAGCAGCCCGCCAATCGACGCGAACATCATGAGCCAATCGGGAGCCGCACGGGTTCCAGGGGTGACCCCCAACCTCGACCGTGCGGTGGAACAACACGCGAGCGGCTTCGTCCAAGTCGCCAGTCGACGCCGAACACGCCATATTTTGAAAGTTTTAGGACTCGGTTACGCTTTCGTGACAAATTTTAGGACTCGTTTGTATTTTTTTGAAAGTTTTAGAATTCAATTGCACTTTTGTGATAAGTTTAAGGATTTAATTGCATTTTTTTTTTAAATGCATGACTTAATTGCACTTTCATAACAAGTTTTAAGACCTTCAATAAACTTAACCATTTATTTTGAATACCAAACACCTAGGAAAGTAAACTTCAAAGTGGGATTTGCTTTTATCCGTGATTTTGGTCGTTGTGAATATCATAGAAGTTTGTGTTGAAGATCATCATTTTTTTAGTTATTTTATTTTTGTGTCATTGTTTTTAATAAAGATACAGATATTACATAACCATAATTATACATTTTCAAGGATAGAATTCATCATGTTTGGTGATTAATATTACCAAAGTCAGAACCAAGTTTATGTTTTTGATTTAAGAGCTACTCTCCAAGTCAAATTTCTCTATATAATAAAGTAAATCCAGAAGAGAATTGTGATCTCAAATTTTTATTAAATTTCATGACAAACCTGTGGCAAATTACAATGGTATCATATTATACGAGGAAAAGAATCGTCATTGAAAAGGAAACAGAATCTTTAACATTTCATAGAACGACATCATAAATCTCTACTTCTTCTTTTTTTCCCAAAATCAATTCTAAAACTTCATTATCTTTGGTAAGTTATCTTTCTAAACATAAAAATCCGAAATTTTCACCCCGATAAAGAACAAATCTTGAAAAGCTTGCATTCTTTAATATAAGTTTTTCGTTTATTTTTTTTTCACATAAAGTGGGTGCTCTAATTTTTTGGGCTGGCAGCAAATGACAAATGGGCATGAACCAAGAGTGTACAACCGCAAAACAATGCCTATAAATCTATCACTTTTGTTCTTGTTTGATCATAATTTCCTCGTACCAATATACTATTTTAGGTAAGCAATTCTTAACGAGAACGGCTAATTCCATTCAAATTTGTCTTTTTCTAATTTAAGCTTCATAAACTAAAAGGTCCAGTTTTTTATTTTTGGCCATCAACTCAAGGTCAGTTTATTTAGGTTAAAATCCACCCATTGAGTTTTCCCCCAAAACTTCTTACTTTGTTCAAATTCATGCAATTTAAGAGTAAAACATCGAATGCGCCGGACCGATTTTGGAGCACTGGAGAGATGGATTAGTCGAGATGCATGAAAATTGGCTTGGACACTATATGACCGATATAACACTATAGAAATAAATATTGCTGCAAACATTCAGGTGGTAATGTAGGAATCGGTATAGTGCTCACCTGAGACTCTACATCCGAGTAATATATATGCAGTTGAATAGCTTCCGGTTTTTTTTTTTTTGTCTTAGTTACTTAGTAATCAAATCTTTTCTTAATTTTGTTCTCTTTAACTATCCTGTTATTTGGTTGACTATTAAAAAAAGAAAACTATCAGCAGAACAGAATTCAACCAAGGCACAGAAATTACAGGCATGATCACCCAGATGGTAGGGAACCACATGAGCCATTTGGAGAAGCCCAAGTGCCTTTCATAAGTTGAAGCAGACATCATCGTCTTCTTCTTGTCCCTGTCTAGTGTCGGCTGGAGAAAGACCATTCATGGTGGTGTGTGGTGTGTGGTGTTGGTGTAGGGTCATTCGACGTGGAAAGGAAAAAAAAAACAATCTTGTATTTGATTGTCGGATTAGATAGACCGAACATGGTGTCACGGGCTCTTTCTTCCCGAAAAGGACGTGGTGGGGAGCAGTGAAAACGCCTATAATTTAACCCCCTCCAATAACAACCCACCAGGGGCATATTCCTCTGCATAAACGGGCTCTTCACTTTCTCGCATAAAAGGCGCAGACTTGAATGACCCCAACCCAGAAAACTTTGCAAGGTTCATGGGCGTTGAAGAAGCGATGACCCCCGTGCATTTGTATATGATCTCCAGAGTTTGCAAAGATGCAGCTGGGGCAGCTGGTACTTTTCCTTCTCTGTCTCTCTCTCTCTCTCTCTCTCAAATTCCTGAACTTCAAGTATTGTGGCTGATTTTTCTGGGTCCTTTGTCTTTTGTCTTCCTTTCTTTGAAATTGTTGTTAGTTCTTGATTTTGCAAAACCACGCATTTGGAGTTGAACTCGAAACTGGAAGCTGAATAGAATGGCCTTTTGGCGATCTTAGACTAGGAAATACCATGAGCTTCTTCATCATCTGAATTCACAACAGCTTAAAAAACTGGTCGTGTACCCAGCACCCAGGTAGAAGAAGAACAAGAAGATGGGTTACAGGCGAAAATTTTATATTTAGATTTGAAAAAACGGGACGAAACTTATGAGGAATGCCAATTGGGACTTTTTGCTCTCACGTAGAATTGTTTATTTTAGCATCGATGCGAGGGTGCAAAACTTGAGACCTTGACGTTAACCAAAAGCTTGTCTCTTCAAGGACTTCCAAATGCCTACAACAGAGAGATTAATCTTGAGAGTATGTGTTCTTCATCTTTGTGCTGCGAGATCCTTAAGAAATGCATAAGGATTTGCTGTTTGACTAATAAAGGATTCGCAATACTTTACATTTGTTGAAGTCACTAAAGGAATCCAGCAACAGCGTAAGAGAATGGTATGCAACACAAGTACAAGCAAAGGAGAGACTTCCACCTATGTCTGAATACATATCTTTTTTTTTCGCATTTTATGTGGGAAGGGTTTGATTGAAAATTGGTTTCAGCAATATGTTGTGATAGAGCCTGATCAATGCACTGATGCAGGAAATATCTTTGCTATTGGCCTATTCGTGTCACCAATGTAAGATGCAAGATCAAGTACTTCCATTTCCATTTCCATTTCCATTTTGAGTCACAAGTTTCTCTATTGAACGTGTTCTTGAATTCCTTAATTTGCAGATCTACATTCGGAAGAATTGTCAGAAACAAATCAACGGAACATTTCTCTGGCTTGCCATACATATATGCCCTCCTAAATTGCTTGATTTGCATGTGGTATGGGTCGCCCCTTGTATCAGATGATAATCTCCTGGTTATGACGGTCAATTCAGCGGGTGCGGTGTTTCAGTTTGTTTACATAATTCTCTTCATAACATATGCTGACAAAGCAAACAAGGTTAACCCGTCTTTTTTAATTCAAAAGGCACATCTTCCTTTCTGCACATGCTTGTATTTTCTAAAGCTCTTGAAAGCTTGTGTTGAGAAATCCTTGATATTGTTGGCAGGTGAGGATGACAGGATTTCTCCTGGCAATTATTGGTGCATTTGCAGTTGTAGTTGCCGGAAGTTTACAAATACCTGAACTTGCCCTGCGAAGGATCACTGTGGGGTTGTTGAGTGGTGCTTCTCTCATATCAATGTTTGCTTCTCCACTTTTTGTAATTGTAAGTTCATTTAGTGACTGGCTTTTATTTTATTTATCCATCAAAGCGGTTGCATTATTTTAGCTAACTTGCTATCGAGGATCTTAAACAATCAGACCTCTCTTCCAGAATTTGGTGATCCGGACTAAGAGTGTTGAATTCATGCCCTTCTATCTCTCTCTTTCCACATTCCTGATGAGCACGTCCTTCCTTCTCTATGGATTGTTTAATGATGATGTCTTCATTTACGTAAGCCTGTTAATTTCATTCTACTATTCTTATTGTTATCTGTAATGCTAATTTCAGTTTAGAATTTCCTCTATTCAATTTACTTTGAAACTAAAACTCATTAAACAGAAATGGTCTCACCTTTTTCCCTACATGTCAGGTTCCAAATGGGATTGGAACTGTCTTGGGTATCATACAATTGGTATTGTACTTCTACTTTAAGTGTAGACCTAAAGACAAGTTGAAGGAACCTTTGGTGGCACCGATTGCATGAGCATCATCGCTTCGAAAAGGTGGAAGTTCTTTTTCGATTTGTTCCCTTTGTTCTTTTCATTGACAAAAAGCTGATTCCTACCACCTGGCAGTATGTTGAAAGAGAAAATACTGACGTATCTATTTCTCATATACACAATAGTTACAACAAGTCTCTATTTATACACAACAGGAACTAGTAAGAGATAAGTCCTATTTAAAAACCTATTTAATAGGTAGTTGGTAGGATGACAGCTAACACTAATTAATAGCTAATTAATAGCTATGACAGCTAAATAACACATTCCAACATGCTAATTAATAGCTATGACAGCTAAATAACAAATTCCAACACTCCCCTCAAGCTGGCATGAAGATATCTTCCATAGACAGCTTGCTCACTAGACGGTCAAATTGTCTTCTGTGCAGTCCCTTGGTCAGAATGTCAGCAGCCTGTTCATCACTTGAAATATACGGCATACAAATTAGCCCTCTATCAAGTTTTTCTTTGATGAAGTGTTTATCAACTTCCACATGCTTTGTTCGTTCATGTAACACAGGATTATGAGCAATAGCAATTGCTGCCTTATTATCGCAATACACTTTCGTTGGTGTGGAGCTCAAAATTTGTAGTTCATCCAAGATGCCTTTAATCCACATAACTTCGCAGACACCATGTGCTACGGACCGAAACTCAGCTTCAGCACTACTTCTTGCCACCACACTCTGCTTTTTACTCTTCCAAGTGACTAAATTTCCACCAACAAACGTGCAATAGCCTGAAGTAGATCTCCTATCCATACTGCTTCCAGCCCAATCTGCATCGGTGAACACCTCAATTTCCAGATGTCCATGTTTCTCAAACATTAGCCCCTTACCAGGACTTCCCTTTAGGTAGCGTAGAATTCTGTATACTGCTTCAAAATGCCTTGGCCCTGGTGAGTGCATGAACTGACTTACCATACTTACGGAAAACGCTATGTCAGGTCGAGTGTGAGATAAGTAAATAAGTCGACCGACAAGCCTTTGATACCTTTCTCGGTCTATCACTTCTTCAGCCTTAGCTGGTTCAAGTTTCAGATTTGGCTCCACGGGTGTATCCGCCGCTTTACATCCTAACAAACCTGTCTCTTTGAGCAAATCAAGTGTGTATTTCCGTTGGTTTACGAATATGCCTTTCTTGGATCTTGCAAATTCTATTCCAAGGAAATATTTCAAAACACCCAAATCCTTAACTTCAAACTCCTCAGCCAGCTTCTTTCGCAAGCTTTCCAACTCAATTTTGTCATCACCGGTCAGTATTATATCATCAACATAGACAATTAGAATGGCACGCTTACCTTCCTTTGAGTGTTTATAGAATAGAGTGTGATCCCCTTGACTTTGGTGATAGCCGAACCTTTTAATCACTTTCCCGAACCGTTCAAACCACGCTCTTGGAGATTGTTTAAGTCCATACAATGACTTTTTCAATCTGCAGACTTTGCCTTCATTTTCTGCAAAACCTGGTGGCAAACTCATAAACACTTCCTCCTCCAAGTCACCATTCAAGAACGCATTCTTCACATCTAATTGGTATAAGGGCCAATCAAAAACAGCAGCCAAAGATAGTAAAATCCGAACAGAATTTATCTTGGCAACTGGGGCAAAAGTCTCTTGATAGTCTACTCCATAAGTCTGAGTGAACCCCTTTGCCACTAGCCTGGCTTTATACCGCTCAACACTCCCATCAGGTTTACATTTTATAGTAAATACCCATTTACAACCAACAATCTTTTTTTCTTCCGGTGTATCAACCAATTCCCATGTGCCATTCTTTGTAAGAGCCTGCATTTCATCCTCTAGTGCCATCTTCCACTTTGGATCCTTCAAAGCGTCATGGATATTTCTAGGAATGGATATGTGAGACAAGTTTGACACAAACGCTTTATGATGATGAGACAATTTTTGGTACGACACATATTTTGATATAGGATGCTGAGTACATGATCTAACCCCTTTTCTAAGAGCTATAGGCATATCAAGATTAGAGGTATTAATATCAGAATTTGAGACTGGAATGGAGGGAAAAAAAGTACTACTAGGATCACCTGATGACAAAGGCAAGGAATCATCTCTCGGGGTTGCAGACATATGAGGCTCCAAGACAAAGTTCTGATCAGCAACCTTTTGAAGAGTTTTTCTTCTAGTATAAACCTGAAGCTCGGGCTTGTTGATCATATTTTGAACTTTTTCTCCCCCTGTCTCTCCCCCTGTCTTTGACACATCAAGGTCTGGCAAAGGTTTTTCCAAAGACTCAGACAAAGGAGTGGGAAGAACAGGAGAGTTTTTAGACAAAGGAGTGGGAAGAACAGGAGAGTTTGATTGCCACAAAATCTCTTCACTAACCTCAGCATTCTCCCCCTGAAGAGATGTGTTGGAAAAAAACGATTGCAACTCTAAGAATGTGACATCCATAGTGACATGAGTTTTGCCAGTATGTGGATTGTAACACTTGTAACCTCTTTGGTTAGGTGCATATCCTATAAACGCACACTTTTCAGCCCGAGGATCCAATTTAGATCGACACTGACTTGGGAGGTGGACAAATGCAGTGCAACCAAACACCCTTAAAGGAATATCAGAAAAAATACGGGCAGTGGGATACACTTTTTTGAAGCAATCTAAGGGAGTAATGTAATTTAATACCCGAGTAGGCAGCCTATTAATTAGATAAGATGCTGTTAACATAGCTTCCCCCCATAAATATTTAGGCACAAACATTGAAAACTTAAGGGCACGAGATACTTCAAGGAGATGGTGATTTTTGCGTTCAGCAATGCCATTCTGTTGGGGTGTAATTCGGCAAGTGGACTGGTGAAAAATGCCTTTTTCTCTCAAAAAACTCCCCAAATACTGGTTATAATATTCAGTACCATTATCCGTACGAAGAATTTTAATAGTAGTGCTGAATTGAGTCACAACCATTTGATAAAAAATTTTGAACATAGACTCCGCTTCAGACTTAGCACTCATCAAGTATGTCCAACATAAACGGGTATGATCATCTATAAAGGTGACAAACCATCGTTTCCCAGTTTTTGTTGGCACGGGTGAAGGACCCCAAACATCACTATGGATTAAATAAAATGGTGATGATGCACGATACTGTTTTGGACTATAATGAGTACGATGACTTTTAGAAAAAACACAATTGTCACAATGTAGCGAAGAAACATCCACACCTTTGAACAAATGAGGAAATAAATATTTCAAGTAGCCAAAGCTAGGATGGCCTAATCTTTGGTGCCAAACCATTATTTTTTCTGGAACAGAGGAAGAACTGAAAACAGAGGAAGAGCTGAAAGTTCCAAACGCCTGAGCTTTTTTATCAAAGAAAAACTCTTCAAAATAGTAGAGACCATCCCTCATCTTAGCATTGCCAATCATCTTCCCCGAGATCTGATCCTGAAACTCACAATGGGAAGCAAAAAAGACAACACGACAGTTAGACTCTTTGGAAAGTTTACTAACAGACAGTAGGTTACAAGCTAACTTAGGAACATGCAGAACATTATGAAGTGTAATAGAATCTGAAAGTGGAATTGATCCTTTGCCTGCAATAGACGAAAAACTCCCATCGGCAATCCGAATTTTTTTGTTGCCGGGACAAGGAACATAAGATGTGAATAAATATGGAATATTAGTCATATGGTCAGATGCCCCTGAATCGATGATCCAAGGTACAGATTGCGAACAACAGGAGAGGGCTTTAAAATTTCTACCTTGGTGGGCAATCGAAGCAGTAGGATTACCCGATACAGACCCAGCTTGAAGTAGTTGCAAAAGATGGTCTAGTTGTTCTTTGCTGAAAGGGGATATGGTGGCCTCGTTAGCTGCAGGAGGCACACGCTGAGATGGCTTATTATCACGGCTAAATGAAGCTGGTCGGCCATGAATCCTCCAACATGTCTCCCGTGTATGACGAGGTTTGTTGCAAACATCACACCAAATACGAGGTCTCCCATCTGATCTTCGCAAGTTAGCAGGGATTCTGCTTACATTTGGCCCGGAGACCCTTGTTGTAGGAACATGGCTCTTCTTGTCTTCGGAAGTTGCCAATGCCGAACCATCCAATGATCCATCCTTTCCACTGGTTGTCGCCTTGCCCAGCATTATTCCCCGTCTACTTTCTTCTCTCCGAACCTCTGAGAAGACCTCTCCAATAGGTGGAAGAGGTTGCTTCCCAAGTATTCTGCCACGAACTTCATCAAACTCATCTCGAAGTCCTGCCAGGAAAGCGTAGATACGTTCGGCTTCTACAATTTTCCTGTACCGATTACCATCGTCAGTACAATTCCACTCATGGTCATTGAATAAATCTAGCTCGTGCCACAAACATTTCAAAGAGTGAAAGTATTTTGTAACAATTTCCTCTCCTTGCCGCATCTTCCCCAGTTTCAAGGTTAACTCATAGATTTGAGATTGATTTCCCAAATCTGAATACATCTCACACACGGCATCCCAAAGTTCCTTAGCAGTATGATAGCCCAGATAGTTTGCACCAATATCTTCTTCCATTGAGTTGGTCAGCCACGTCATAATCGTCGAATTCTCCGCATCCCAGACAGCCCAAGTGGGGTCATTTATCGCTGGTTCTGCGGTATCTCCAGTCAGATAGCCAATCTTTCCTCTGCCTCGTATATACATTCGGACAGATTGAGACCACTGAAGAAAGTTATCTCCATTAAGCTTAATGGAAGTGATTTGAATAGGATGAGGTTCGGTGGATTTTGGAAGAAGTGATGGGGGATTAGACTGAGTGATTGATGATTCTTCTAACATAGTGATCAAATGATCAAAGAGAGAGACCAGAAATTTTTTTTTTTTTTTTGGACGTAAGGGAGAGGCTGGTGGCTCTTCTTAGGAGAGAAGTGATGATGCAACAGAGACCTGCTTTGATACCATGTTGAAAGAGAAAATACTGACGTATCTATTTCTCATATACACAATAGTTACAACAAGTCTCTATTTATACACAACAGGAACTAGTAAGAGATAAGTCCTATTTAAAAACCTATTTAATAGGTAGTTGGTAGGATCTAATTAATAGCTAATTAATAGCTATGACAGCTAAATAACACATTCCAACATGCTAATTAATAGCTATGACAGCTAAATAACAAATTCCAACACAGTATAATTTCCCAATTGATCCTTTCCCACACTGCACACGTGCTCTAAGTCCTTCTTGGGATGGTTAACGTAGTTTGGTCTCGTGAGTGTCTTGCTGCTGATCATATCTCTGCTGCCCCAATTTCAGCTAAGGAATTATGACTTTGACTATCTTCGTCCTGTTTTGGAAAATGCTGTCCCTGTAGTCTTGGTGCAAATGCTACCTGAGTTGTACCCCCTAAATTATTCTTTTATTTATTTGGGCAGCTTAGCATGATTTGATCTAATGAAACTTGAAACTGAGTGAGGTAATCTTTTTCTAATAATTAGCAACAAAAAGAGCATATTGAACCAATTTGATGATGCAGTGTTGAGGATTTTTCTTTTTATTGCTCAAACGGTAACTAGTTGCTGTCCCGGTCATTGTTATTGCCCAATATTCTTCAGGAGTTAAGTGTAAGTGCTAGAGATTTGGTTAATGGCTCTTTGGCACCTATAATGAGGATCTAACGACTTAATCATTCAACTTAAGTTAAGGGGCATATCCAGCTGTTTGAGTTTATTTGTTTTCTCACTCTGATCAGGACTTGTGCGGAAGTAGGTTAATAAGGTGGGCCTCAGTTCTCAAGATAGGCTAATTCACTACTGGTGAATTCTGGGAGAGATGGCAGTGCTGGTCAAGACTGATGCGGTTAAATTGGAAACCCGTGGCACGGCTCAACTTTATAAGAACTACGTCCACTATTGGCAATGGGTGGATAAATAAGTTGCCAAAGTGAGGCAGAAAGCAGACGGTGCAATACCACCTGGAAAATATTAAATGAGGAAAGATAGCCTGGCATCATTCAATTTGCTTCCAGCAGTCAGATGAGAATTAGGGTTTTTTTCAGAAGACATTGTGTAGCGAATGAAGGAAGAGTGCTCCAAGAAAGTTCCTATTCTGATCAAAATTGTTTCTCTTGAAATGCCTCAAATGAATGAACTGCAACATCTCTACTCATCTAGCAAGTCTTAAATGCTGTGAAAGAAACCTAGATACCTCTAATGACGTTTGACCAGGCAATCTGATCTTCTTCTATGTATGAACTTAAGCTGCCAATCATTTCTACTGAGACGCTATTTAGTTCATACTAGTTTATGTGAAGACTGTCCGATCAAAGGCTTCATTCACATAGGAGAGGTTACAATATCCAGGAGAAACCCCCTTTGCCTACAGCTAGAAGAATACTGACAAATTTGACAAGCAAATCACAGCAAATCCTTCAGAGTTGTGCTCCCACCACTGGTTTTTTTCTCCTGCATGTAACACAAGCTAAACCATGTCACTTTTCGACCAAAAAAACAAACCATGTCACTTGCGAGCAAAGTATCGCAGCAATAATAGACAGAATAGGGAGGAAGTGCTGTTGCTTTGTCTATTGCTCAAATATGGCAATAGCAGACTCTAAGATGTTTCCATCGGAATTGCTGGGCATCATATTCTTTGGCTCTATCTCATAGGTAGAGTTTTTGCATGAATATTTGATTCTTGCGAGATGCTGCATTCTAAATTCTCATACTCATAATGGCATACCGAGACGATCTATCCCTGGGTTTTCCAACTGAGCTATTTTTGCCAATGATCAACATTCATCAAATGATATCTGCCGAGCACACTGAAGAAATGCTCTAGCCTAATTAACTGCTCGCATTCCAGGACTACTCGGACACTTCAAGTGATTCTATTTCTAATATCTGGTCAAAAGGAAAGGAAGAAGAAAAGAAGCAGAGTTTGATGACCTGATCGGTGCCGGCATCCTCTGACGAACCACTAAGGGGCTGACCTCGCTCATCGTACAGAATAAGCCCGCTAAACCTCGGGAGCTCGCACTTCTCTCCCATTAATATTGGCCTCTGCCACACAAGCGACTCCGAGTTGTGGCTCTGCCACCCCACAACATCACCTTCCAACGCAAGCAGCGGCGGCGGCCGCCTCTCCCCCCATCCCCCCATATTCTTCTCCTCCCACTTGCTCGCTCTGCTCCACCTCAGCGAACCCATCAACACCCTCTTTATTGCAACCCATCCACAGCTTGGCTCTGGCCATTCTTCATGGAAAGAGTGACTCCCAGTCAGTTCTTGGCTCACATTGGTGACTTGCACTTGCTTTTTTCTTGCTCTCTTGAGGAATGCTGCAACAGCTCCAAGCCCAGCCACAGCAAAAGCAGTGCACCCAAATAGCAAGAAGGCTTCTTGGGTCGACACTTTCCATTTGTCTTCCAAGTTCCACAATGCTTCCATCCCCTTGAACTCTAAGACTTGGTGCACATCTTTTTGTGTCAAGAAGATCTTGTGCTGGTGATGGATTGGAATGGAATGTTTTTTTCTTTATAGATGAAAGTGGGAAGGGTTGATGGGTTCACGTGAAGGTTCACCGCTTTGTTTGGGCTTTTGGGGCCATTTCCATGCTCATGATGGTCATAGCCGTTGGTGGAGGGATATAGCCACCGATAAGTAAGTACAAGATCCCAATGAAAGCAATTCACGAGGTGTTCATGGGCTACTGATGAATTACCTCTTCCTATTTACTCCGAACCACAAACATTTTACACTGTTTCATAGTCCTGATCGCTTGCCTCAAACATGTTTTTAGCTTGTCAAAAGAGGAACCTCAACTATACATATGATCTCTTTGCCTGACCATCACAAGATTTCTGGGATAACTTCCTGTTAAACTTCCCTCACTGAATTGCAGAATTGTGCTAAGCACCATTTTTGAACTTACAACAAATTTTCTGTAAGGTTTCTAAACGTAATTACAATTTAAATCTCAAATCCAACCGCCTACCCACATTGAAAAACTTCATAACCGCCTCAAGCAATATTTTTTTATCCTATTCCTCAGTCACTTCCTGCGGATAGCCATCATTTTCAAATTTAAACAATTTCTTCTGGTATTTTATGTCATATTTGTAGATTGATAGAGTCTTCCACGGCCATATTTATAACGACTGTAAGGATATTTGTATCTATTAAAGATACTTTACTAGATTATTAAAATTATACGAATTTAGGTAGTCACGCCCTTTTCTAAACTCTAACTGGGATATAATTTAAGACGATATACCAACATAACTGTCGATATTACTTATAAGTTTTGTTGTTTTATTGATTAATATATTGTAATTGGTGCACAGATTAAATAAGACGTTTATGCTTTTTATATAGGTTCATCATTTTATATTGGTCTTCGGCTAGTGAACTTAGAAAGCCATAAGAAACTATGCTTAGTGACATCTTATCCATCCTTTTCTGTGCAAACTCACGATGAGGGTCTGTGGACTCTGTACGGAGCTTGTGCTTCTTTTGCTCACTAGATGAAGTTTGAATTATACATTTGATAGAACGATAAGATAAATCTGAGCAACTAACAAAACAAAACGTACATGTTTTGAATCTTGTTGTGATTAAGCCACTGAACAGAAGATTGAGACGAGTTCTCATCCGATGCTCTGTTAAGTTTGCTAGCTCTAACCAGTTCTATAAATACATCCTGTAGACATCTGGTAAACTGTGCATTTGACTACATTGGCTACTCGTGTGGAGCATAAGAATGGCTAAGTTCAGACTCCTCTCGTCATTCTTGCTCTCCCTCTGTCTCCTTGGACCATGCATGGTTGCCGCGGAAGAAAACGTTACGGCAATCCAGTGGCCTGCTTCGAAATATGTCTCAGCAGTTGGGCAACCCGGCATGAAAAATGACAATCTAAGGGTCGCGATCGAAGCCTGGAATCAGTGCAACGAGGTCGGCGAAGAAGCCCCTAATATGGGCAGTCCTAGAATGGCAGATTGCTTTGATGTCGACTATTCTTCCACACCAAGTAAGTTCATCTCTGTTGATAGAAAGAAAAAAGAAAACTCATCTCGATTTATTTTTCACTAGATCTGGTTTTTGCCCGACATGGTGAAGTGCATTAGTGATTAGTCCATGTTGTTCGATCCGATTTACAGTGCAGTTGAATCACAAGGTGAACGAAATAGAAAACCGGCTCGGCATATTGAACTCTACAACATACCAAGGAATAAAGGCGTCTGACGTGAACGGGTACGCAGCTCGGAAAGAAGTGTACTTGGGCAATAAGTGCGAAGTAGTCGATATACCGATGCCGTGGCAGTTCTGGATGATCATGCTCAAGAGCGGCAATTTGGACACCGTGTCCCAAAGGTGCAAGGAAAACGGCAAAGAGGCGCCCATTTTCCCACCCGAGTCGAGGTTCCCATGCTTCGGAGACGGATGCATGAACATGCCATTGATTTACCACGACTACACCAGCATCCGGAATCCTAATAAACTCAGAGGCAGGTATTATGGGACATGGGACTTGGATACTGACGTCAAGAAGGCAATTCATGCCAACGAGACTTCTTTTTTCTCGGTGACGTGGGAGAAGGAGATCGGAAACGGGAGTTGGGTGTTTCATCATCTGTTGAAGACATCGAAGAAGTATCCATGGCTGATGCTCTACTTGAGGTCGGACGCCACGACGGGCTTCTCGGGAGGTTATCACTATGAAACTAGGGGAATGACTAAAATAGTAAGTACAATGCTCCTCAGTGAAATAGCAAGCGTGCTTTGACAGGACAGTTGATTTCACCTCACATTACATCTATGTTTTCATCTATCCAGAAATCAAAATTATGTATCAATGACAGGACAGTTTTATAGAATTGACGCAATCAAAATGGTACTTTTCACTGCAAATTTTCCATGTATAGGTTCCAAAATCACCCAATTTCAAGGTGAAGTTCACATTAGACATAAAGCAAGGAGGAGGACCAAGCAGCCAATTCTACCTAATGGACATTGGAAGCTGTTGGAAGAACAACGGGAAGCCGTGCGACGGCAATGTAAAGACAGACATTACCAGGTACAGCGAGATGATCATAAATCCCGAGATGGAGGCGTGGTGCCGGCCGGACAACCTCAAGAACTGCCCACCGATCCACACCTTCCCGAATGGGACCAGAGTACACCGCACGGACGAGGCCAACTTCCCCTACGAAGCCTACCACGTGTACTGCGCTCCCGGGAACGCCAAAGTCCAGGAGGAGCCATACGGCCCGTGCGACGCGTACAGCAATCCCCAGGCCCAAGAAATACTGCAAATCCTGCCGCATCCGGTGTGGGGAGAGTACGGGTACCCTACAAAGAAGGGTGAGGGTTGGATCGGTGATCCTAGGACTTGGTATCTTGATGTTGGAAGGCTCTCTCATTCACTTTACTTTTACCAGGTAAGAACATGCATTGTCAGGTGACGTTTCATATGAACGATGCAAATATGACATTACTCGAGATGGGTCTTTTCAACTTTGCAAATTGCAGGATCCAGGCACTGAACCCGTTGAAAGGCATTGGCCATCAATCGATTTGGGAACAGAAATATACGTGAACGATAATCAAGTCGCCGAATGGACTGTAAGCGACTTCGACATAATTGTTCCGTCGGAAGGCATATGATGAGTACGATGCTTTTTTTTTTTTAATACTAAAAGTATAGAACAGCATAGCATGATAGGAATTTTGCTTGACCAGTGAAACCATAGGATAGCATATCATACCGTTGTCGAAAATTTCGTTTGTAGTTCATGACATGTTTCTTTCTTATATAAGAATACAATTAGTGGAATGATCCCATGCTTACCACTTTTCTTCTTCTGTAACCTGTCGAAAACTATCGAGCAATGCTTCGTACGCATAAACACGTGAAAGACGCTGACAATTACCTGATCCAATGAGCAAAATACAACAAATCCTAGAAGGATGGGGATGGTTACCACTTACATGTTTGGTCAACATTATAATGAATCGATTCCCGGAATCAAATTTGGCGATTTCTAGATTCATTTTATGGTTTGATATTTGCTTATTCATTCATTGAAATTGATTGGCAAGATTTTTATGTGAGGATTGGTAATTAAGAACACCATGCTTAGAATTCTAAAGATTGCGGGACTCTTACATTTGAGGGACGATTACACTATGAGTTCTTAAACTCGTGTCAAGTCTTAAAGCTTTCCATCGTACATTTTAAATTCTAAAACTTGTCACCCTTTCTTACGTTCATGGATAGAAAATCTATGTGACAGTTTTTATTGATATTTCTTTTATTTTTCGCCCAAGCAAACACTGATGTGGCGCAAAATAGAGATCATCGAAAGGCGGCGGGGTGGTTCATTGCCTCTTTTGTCACCGTGTTAGCAAGGGTGGCGACCCTTGCCCTATGCCCCCGGATGGAGCATGCAAAGGCCTGCTGCCCTAGCTCAATGCATGCTGGGCAAGGGCCCTTGCGCTTGCCCCAACCTAGGCGACGGCAACAAGCCCTCGCCTACTCCGGCCACCCTCGCCAGCTACAGAGGAGGCAGCGGCACAGCCCCTGCCCCGCCCCCGCCCCCGATCCCCTGCTCCCTCCTTTTAATTTTTTTTTTTACTTTGTTTCTTTCATTTTTCAGTTTTTTTTTAACACAAAACGTATTTTTTTAGTTTTAAAAACGTTCCGTAAGCTTATTAACGGCCACGTGGACGAAAAAGTTACCACCCGAGACTATTTCGTTCACTATAAATTAGCGGAACTTATGGAAGGACTAACGTGACAGATTTTAGGACTCTGGCGTGTATTCGTCCATACATTTCACTAGTCATATTTGCCATTGAGAGCTAAACACCTATATCAGCGCACGTTGAATGGTCAAATCAACCTAATATAAGTATATATTACACATCAATATTAGGATGTACCTTTTTTCTTGTTACAACACGCATTGACAAGAGCCTTTTAGGGCAACCGATAGGTAGCTGGAAAATAAGAAAATGGATGACACCAGTCTTCGATTTGAAGTCGCCAATCTAGACCATTTTGCCAAAGGGAGCTGCCTCTTTTTCTCACTTTATGTTCGGGAATCTGAAAAGCATGGGGATGTCATGACGCTGCTCGCGTGATTCGTTACAAGAATGCTGTGCTATTTCGGCTGTACGCGTTAGACAACAATTGCCAAGCCACGCGGTCAAAACAGTATCTTTAAAATTCAACATTCAACGGACAACGCATTTTCGTAGGTTTATACGTCCATTAAGTATTTCCCTTATTATCTATAGTCAAGCACAGTAGACAACTAAGAGAAAGCGAGCTGAATATAAAAACCATCCGACCAAGGGATTTCTTTTTAAACAGTCGATTCTTGGAAAGAAGCAGCGAGGAGGGTGCTGGTGCGTGTTAAATTTGAATGGATTGACATACAAAGGGCGAAGACGTTCTGGAAGAATGACGGGTTATT